GTGAAGACTGAGCTCATCAACATCCTCCCAAGTACCCTCATCTGGATGCATGCCAGACCATACCACTAAAATCTCTTTTCTGCCCCTGTTAAGACGACCCCGTAAGACCTCTTTTCCCGCAAGACCTCTTTTGGATGTGGCAGAAGCTTCCCATCATGAAGATTAGGTAGTGTGGGAGACTGTGCCGGTGGCGTTCCCTTAAATTCCTTCAGTAATGAAATGCGGAAAACATCATGACTTTACTACCCTCTGGAAGGGCCAACTTATATGCCACTTTCCCAATTTTCTTGATGATCTGGAATGGTCCAAGATACCGTGGGGATAATTTTGCTGATGTCCGTTTGGTTACGCTGAATTGACGATATGGGTGCAGGCAAAGCCAAAACCACTGTCCCTCGTTGAACACAACGTGTCCCTCGTTGAACACAACGTCTCAGTGGTTATTGTCGTATGCAAGATGCAATCTGTCTTGAGCACATATGAGGTGATTTCGAGCAGCGCTCAAGATTGCATCGATTGCATCTCTGTCCTTCAAAGCAGTGTGTACCACTTCTATTTTGGATGATCCTGGTTCATAGGATATAAGCCTCGGCGGTTCGCGCCCATATATGACCTGGGCGAAGTACCCAAAGCCGAATGGAGAGAGGTGTTATAGCAGAACTCAACCCATGGCAGCCAGTCTACGCACCTACGTGGGTGATCTCCTACCATACATCTAAGATACATTTCGAGTGTGCGGTTAATGACTCCTGTTTGACCGTCTGGGTGATAAGATGAAGAAAATGCCAAGTGTGTGCCACATAACTTAAAGAGTTCCTTCCAGAATAAGCTTGTGAAGACTGCATCTCTGTCACTGACTATTGTTTCAGGCAGGCCGTGTAGTTTAAAGATATTACCGAAAAAAGAATGAGCCACTGACGCTGTTATGTAAGGATGTGACAATGCCATAAAGTGAGCGTATTTGATGAATCGATCCACCACTACATCGATAACTGAGTTACCCCCGACCTTTGGTAGCCCGTCAATAAAATCCATTGAAATACCCGCCCATATGTGTTTAGGAATTGGTAGAGGTTGTAGTAAACCAGCTGGGTGCAAGTTTTCCCATTTAATTTTTTGGCAAATAGCACAGTTGGTGATGAAGTCCTTTACCGAAGATGTCATGCTGTCCCAATAGAATTCTCTTTTTATGCGATGCAGAGTCTTTTGAATCCCTTCATGAGTAGCATTATAAACTGCTGCGAGGATGGTTGGGATATAATTAAAGTCGATTGGCACATATATTTTGGACTTGTAATAGACCAAGCCATCACGAACTGTCCAGCTAAAATTTCCCCCTTGTGTTGCTTTGTTGAAAACAATCTGGCCTTCCTTGGAGAACTGCTCCAATACCCACCCCTGATGCATCACATTCAATTAGGAATGGTTTGGAGAAGTTGGGTAATTGCAATACGGGTGAACTGGACAAGGCAGTTTTGAGCTTGTCAAATGAAGTTTGAGCTTCACTAGACCATGAAAATGCATTGCGACGAAGGAGTGAAGTTAAAGGTGCTGCATGCACACCAAAGTTCCGGATAAAACGTCGGTAAAATCCAGCTAGGCCAAGGAATCCACGAAGAGCAGTGGTTGTGACTGGTACAGGCCAATAAATGATTGCCTGGATTTTTGAATTATCTGCCGCCACCCCCATTTCCAGTAATCACATGTCCAAGATAGGTTACCTTTAGCACATCGAAAACACATTTCTTCCTTTTTAGGAACAATTGATGAGTTTGGAGTAATCCAAACACAATTCTAATGTGTTGTAGATGCTCCACCCAAGTGTGATTGTAGATTAATATGTCGTCAAAAAAGATAAAGACAAATTTACGAAGATGGGGCCCAAATACCTCATTCATAAGTGCTTGAAAGGTGGACACTGGACGGTGCATTGCACAAGCCAAATGGCATTACCAGGAATTCAAAATGTTCATGGTGGGTGCGGAATGCTGTTTTTTCAACATCTTCTGGGCTCATGCGTATTTGATGGTACCTTGAGCGCAAGTCAAGCTTTGTGAAGAACTGAGATCCGTGAAGTTCGTCTAAGAGCTCATCAATTACTGGAATGGGAAATTTATCCTTAACGGTGTGTGCATCGAGTTCCCGATAATCTACACAAAAGCGCCATGAGTTGTCACTCTTGGTTACCAAGAGTACTGGAGATGAAAACGGGCTTTGACTTGGCTGAATTTGTCCTCTTTCCAGCATCTCCAAACACTGCTTCTCAATTTCATCCTTTTGCAGTTGTGGGTAGCGATACGGTCGTACAACAACAGGACCTGTCCCAGCTTTGAGAATAATACGGTGATCACAATTGCGTGTTGGAGGCAGTGCCATAGAATCAGAAAAAATGGTGTCAAAGTAACTCAGAAGCTCCTCCATTGCTTGATCATTAGAAATTGCAGGATGCATAGAATACAAAATGGTGCTAACTGGAGCTGCATCTCCTGTCCAAGCAACGGTTCTTCCATGTATGGTAAAGGTGACCCTTTACTCCTTTTTGCTCCCTAAAGTTACACACGATATCACCCAATTCCTCCAACCATTTTACCCCAAAGATTATATCAAACCCTGATATCGGTAAGACGAAAAGATTAATCCGGAATGTGGCACCGGCCTTAATAAGTCTTACTTGCTCGCACACACCTATGCTGAATAGCTTTTCTCCATTTGCCACTACCACACGAAAATCCCGACGAGATGTTATTGGCAACCTGAGCGAGAGAGCAGTTTGGGAATTGATGAAATTATGAGTGCTCCCTGAATCAATCATTGCAAGAACATAATTACCGGCCAACTGGACTTGCACTTGAAGCGTGTTGGGGTGACGAAGTCCAGCCATGGCATACAGGGAAATTGTGGGCTCAATGTGACTTTCAGATCCTTCCTCGTCATCATCCATCCAAAGACAAAATAGTCGTTTGCATCTATGCCCCGGTACATATGTTTCATAACAGTTGTAACAAAGTCTCTTCGCTCGCCGTTCTGCTGCTTCACTTTTAGACAACCTCTTCATGTATGGAGGAGGGGGCTGACCGAGTTATTGAGGGTCCTGCACCTGGTGGTATGATAAGAACAGAAAAATAAAAATCAACGGGGTAAACCGTTGCCCAGATAATCAACGATAAAAATACCGTTGCCCAGAGCCAAAAGGCTAAAACCAATTTTATTCCCAGATGATCAAGAATGAAGCATACAAGGGGTATAAATAATCCTCTAGGTCTAATAAGAATAGGAATAGGAATCCTAATTAAATCATAATAGGAAACTAAAATGAATAGGAAACCCCTAGTTCTAATAGAAGTCCTAATTAAATCATTCTAGGAAACTAAATAGAAATAGGAAACCTCTAATTCTAATGAGAATAGAAGTCCTAATTAAATTATACTAGGAAACAAAATAAAAGGAATAATTAAAATTAATTAAATTGCCCATAGCCAGCCCACGAAGGTGGGCTCAAGCCCGTCCCGCCCCATGCTCTTCCCGCTTCATATCATGGTAATTGTGTGGTGGCTGTTGTCGGAAAGTGCCCTATCTTGGGAGGCGGCCGTAATGTTCTGGGATGAGTCGAAGTCCAAAGCTGCAACTTTCTCGCGAATAGTCTTGCCTCACTAAACGCCATTGTCAGATTCAATGGTTTTTGAAACTTGGTATTCCATACGAAGTGGTGGTGCACGTGCTAGGCTGTTCTGAAACTGTGTGATGTACTCCTCAATTGGACGGCCTTGTTGTTTTAGATTTGTCAAATCCCCTAATGGATTTGCACCACCAGGGGGACCAAATCTGTGAGTGCAGTAATCTCGAAAAGATTCCCAAAAAATATAGGGCTGGTCTTGGCGTAGATGATGATACCACAACTGAGCATCTCCAGTTCGATAGTAAGTAGCCATAGAGACTCGTTTGGCAGGGGGAACGTTCTGATTCATGAAGAATAACTCGCAGCGATAAAGCCAACTGAGTGGATCTTCCGTGCCAGAGAAAAGGGGAAACTCAAAATGTGATCCATGAGTAGTAGCCATGTGATTCATGTTGTCGGGTGCATGTACCAGCACCGGATCAGCATTGCTAGCCTCTGTTGTTGAAGTTTTACCTCCGTCTGCAAGTAATTTTTCCATCATCTGTTCAAGGCGATCTATGGATTCTTTTAGATTGGAGACTTCTTCCTTTGATGCAAACAGACCATCGCACATAACGCCGGCAACGGAACCAATGTTACGGGCAGCTTGTGTGCAAGATCTTGTCACAGGCATGACAGGCCTTCGGGTGAGGGGGAGGGTAGACTGAGCTTTGGAAGGGTTGGCTATGTTTGCTGTTTGGCAGAAAACAATTATGCAAACTTTTATCACAAGTTAGAATTTTTTATTGAGAATTCACTTTACTTGCTAAAAACTTGCATGCCTTTTCCCTGCATTCAACAGGCCTTTAAATAGGCTTTACAGAGTTTGGAAAATAAAATAAAGAAAACAACTAAAAAGAAAACAATAATTCAAAGATTGCAATCGGAAAATAATATCTCAGATCTCTAAGGATCTCAAATCCCTGACTGTGACATGTCAATCAGATTTGTCTGATTTATTTGTCTCCCAGATTTGTTTGGTTTTATTTGTCTTCCAAATCAGTCTGATTTGTCTCTGTGATTTGCTGATTTTTATCTTTCTTTCTTTTACGGTGATATTGACGCCCTATGAATGCATCAGATCCCCTCTGTAATGGAGGCTCTCAGCATCAAATTATCATCTTGTCTTTCATCTGATCGCCTGTTCACCTGAACACTATGGGACAAGTGCTAGCATCATCCAACAATTGTTCTCTGCATAAATAAACATATGCATTTCCTTTTGTGATGTATGTAATCATTAAAGAAGAATACAAACGAAAGTGTTAGTTGGTGTACACCTAAAGTGGGGGCTGACATAAGCTACTTTTTAGAGTGATCTTCAAGTCTTAGTGTGTCTGTGCAGAGCAATGTGTGGCGCTGGGACTGTGGAGATCATTGGACCTATCACAGCAACTGTTGAAGACGCCATTCTTGTGTAAGATTCTATTGGTCCTGATTCTCAGTTTTATGTTATATTCTGTGTGCTTTATTTGATCGTTAGTCAAACATGATTGATTTGATTACTTGTATTGATCAGTTATGAAAAAATGGTCCTGTTTTCCTTTCTAAAATTGATATTCATCCATTCTAGAGTATCAATACAGAATGATCATCTTCTATATATAACTTACCCATCATTATTTGACATATAAATCAGTATTGTGTTCAATGTTGTAACAAATGCTATAATCAAACTGAGGCCTAGTGCATAAGTGGGGATTAATTGGGGTTAAGTGGGATCGAAGTGGAATTAGGTGGGAGTGTGGGACCTAAGACAGAAAATAACTTCATTGGCCAAGGAGAGTGTAATGCTTAGGTGTGGACAGTGCCGCGAACTTGAGACTATGCGGAAATTTTTACAACAATGAACATATTTAATTTATATTTCATTAAATAGGAACTTACTCTCTTATACTGACAGTCTTATCCATTTTTTCAGGTATTCAGCAATATTAGGATCCTCTCCTGCAGATAGAATTTCTCTGAAACCGGTAATTGCCTTGAAATTGGTCACTTTCCGTTCGCTATATGTATACAAAATTGCTCACTTTCTGTTCGCTATATGGAGACAAAATTGCTCACTTTCTGTTCGCTATATGGAGACACCAAATTGCTCACTTTCTGTTCGCTATATGGAGACACCAAATTGCTCACTTTCTGTTCGCTATATAGACAAATCTTTTATTTTCTTCACCCATATTTTTAATAGTTATGTAACTTATCTTTTTTTCTGGCATCATAATATAAATATCTGAAAAAATTGTGCAACTCAATCCTCCCCGTCCCCTTCAATATTCCGGTAGAAATGCTAACAAGCAGCAGTGAATACTTGCAACTTATGTACAAGTTTTATGGACATACCTACTGCTACCCCAGATTGTGAATGCCCATTTCTAGAGTCTGCTCATTTGGCAGTAATCCTTTACCAACATTTTGATAATTTTGAACTTGGTTATGCTTATCATTATTGAAGTGTTTGTCCCATATCGACTAAATATCTAACAATTAACCAACATATAAGATTTTGAGTTACTTCATCAAGTTACCCTTTTAGTTTGGAAGCCCAATACTTAATATGGTATCAGGGTGGTCCAATTGTGCTACGTTTGTTTGGTTGACATCCATGATTTGGAGACTTGGAGTAGCCTGTTTGGGGTGTGGGGTTAGTTTAGCCTATTTATCCACCCATTAGTTTAGCCTATACAAATAACGATAGACGGATAAGCTATGAGGAATTTGCATCAGTGATGAAGGTGGGTACGGATTGGAGAAAAGCGTCACGGCAGTATTCTAGAGAGTGTTTTCAATAGTCTGAGCTTGAAGTTAATAGGGGATGGCTCCTTACAGCTCTCCAATGAGGACACAAGAATGAACAAGAAGATAGTCTAGTGTACACATTCCTATATTTTCACGTTTTTTATGAATTGTTGATTTACTAAATTGAATCAGTTGTTTCTACATTTCAAAATTTTCACCTGTGCATATAATTCCTCCAAAAAAGGTGTTCTAATGTGTTATACACTTAGGTTGCGGGTTGAAGTATTTATCTTAGAGCGACTAACTATAAAATAATAAACCAACATATAAGATTCTGGGCTTCTCCTCTCATAAGTTTAAAACTTTTAATCACTTTATTGTGTAGTTTAAGTCTTGAGAATATGATGGAATAAAGCAAAATGGCTCACTAAACTGTCTGCGCTTCTTTTTTATGAAGCAGCAGTCAGTCCATGCAATTTTGGACGCGATTTTCATTATGGGTCATCCGGAAACAGTCTCTCTGTGCTTTAGTACAGGGGTAAGACTGCGTACATCCGACCTCCCCCCCTACCCCACTGTAGGTGGGAGCCTTTGCGGCACTGGGGTAAATGAAAATGATTGTGTAGTTTTAAGTCTCATGTCCTTTATTTCAAAACAACACGGATCATTGTCAGATCCATTTGTCACTAAGACTGTTTAATTGATTATGTTGATGTCCTATGTCCATGTGAACCAGGTTTATCATATATTTTTATCCTTTGTTCATGTAAAAAATCATCCATATTTCTATCATACTATTCTACTTCTATGCTAGGGCCAACCTTGTGTACCTAATTTATCTTCAAATGAAAGTTTGGATGTTCTGGGATCAATGAGGTTGGGAAAGTATACAGAGGTAAACAACGTTCTTTTTGCTGAAGATGGTCATACATGTAATTTCAAATGATTATTTCATTTCAATGTTTAATTGCATTTGGGTTGTTGCTTCAGTGGTTTAATGATGTTTTCTCCCCTGAAATATCTGAAAAATGTGAGGGTGTCCTGCATCAACTGTCAAAAAAGTATGGGTGCAAAGTAAGTGTCTTGCATGGAGCGTCTACTTTCATGGACCTTTTTGGCTTTATCTTCTTGAAAACGACAATATTTACATGTTCTAATGCAACAACAAAACAACAACATCATCCAAGCCTTAATCCCAAAAGATTTATTTACATGTTCTAATGCAAATGAAAATTATTTTTGTGTTTTCCATTTGACTTTTATTTTTATTTTTACTGCATTCAAGGTGATGGAGATTGTAATACCAGAGCTGCATGAGATGCGGACTGCTCATATTGTTTCCATAGGCTCTGAATCACTGTGCTCTTTGAATCCTTACTTGGAGGGAGGGTGTGCTTATTCAACTTTATATATTAATCCACCAGCCTTAATGTGATTTCAGATGTATCTGTCAATTAATGCATGTTTCATCATCTTTTTTTATTAGGAAAGGAGCAAGATTGACACATGATACTCGAACCAATTTGGCACTTTTTCGGTCATTCACAGCATCAGATTATGTTGCTGCTCAGCGCCTTAGGTAAGGCATGCTTTATCATGCACTTAAGTTGTTCACTTTTTCATTCTCCATGCATTTTATGTGAATCTAACACTGCTTTAATATTATTTTAAAAACCTTAAGAATTGCTATTGAATATCCTGTTGTTGATGGTTGTCTATTGTGTTTGAGTTTAGTATGTGAGTGTGAGGTAGCCCCCCCCCCCACCTAGTGAGATCCCTTTAGGCTGAGTTAGACCCAGCTCAACATGGATGCATGGCCACTCATTGGTTTGGGCAGCCTGTTTGGGGGTAGTTTTGGGCCCATTTGTCCATTCTTTAGTTGTCTACCCTGGGTTGGATTGATGGATGTGTTTTGAGTATCACATATAGGATGTCTAAAACTCTCCTCTTCATGATTTTTTTGAGTTGAGCCCAATTTATCAATTGCTAGTGCCGTGAGGTAAAGGTAACAAATGTTATTGTGTTACCTGAATACTTAATATTTGCTTAGTTGCATTCAAACAGCTCAATTGTAGTCCTTGATATTTGTTTGTTACTTTGTTGTGATAATGTGCTTTGAATTACTATGCAGAGTTCGCAAGCAAAATTCTCATTTATAATCAAAGATAAATAGCCATGATGAATTTGTTATGAATATTTTTATTTCAGGAGAAGGCTAATGTACTACCATATGGAGATATTTAAGAACGTGGATGTCATAGTAACTGCTACAACTGGGTATGTTAGTGGCCTGGTTTTCGGTTATGATAATTTATTATAGAATTAGATCTTTTCCTGATAGATTCATTAGATGTAAATCATGCAATGAATTAAGTCTGTCTCTAATTGAATTCTCAGTAAGATACTAAGAAAGTGTGCATTCTTTTCTTCAGCATGACAGCACCCATAATACCAGCAAGTGCTCTTGCTGTTGGAGAGTCAAATTTGCAAGTGTCAGGTTGACTTTTCCTTTTCTACTTCCAGGTTTAATTGGGATCATATATTCTAAAAACCACTGCACCCTCCTCTATTACACCCTCATGCTTGCCAAGTGTCTTAGATGACATCATTATGAAGCACTTGTCATGCATTGGTGATTTTGGAATAGAGGATGCATCAGTTTGTGGAAAGAGGGTCTCATTTATGTTTCGATTTGACCCTCCTTTATAAGTCTAGTCTAGTGCTTATATGCTGCCATGAGTAAAGTGCAAAAAGAACTGAAGGAAACGTGTTTCTCTACTCGTCAAGGTTGAAGCAAATATGTTCCGCCCCTTAAAGAGATACTTATGTAAATTATACGAGGATCAAGAAATAATTGTTCAGTTGGAATAATTAATTTCATATGCAATTGTGAAACGCACAGATGTGCCCTTTTGTGAAATTTTTTAATGAACAAAATGGAATTACTCTTATCTTAGTTTTTTTTTAAATAAGGGCAAACCTGAAAATGGGAAATCAAATGCACACCTGATCTACAGATTGGACAGTCTTTGGAAGATGGACCAAAATGTAATAAAGGTCATCTTTGTGGGACAGATGAAGTAATAGTCAAGCTCTTAGGAACTTGGGATTATTAGTATTCACATGCTTGCCTTTATGCTACTTTTAGTTATATATATGCTTAACTATTAATATTTAATAGTGCATGTTTCTTCAGGAAATCTCATGCGTTTCATTATAACCGCAAATCTTCTGGGGCTTCCAGCCATTTCTGTTCCTGTAAGTGAGAACATCATAGTGTATGAGGTTTATTTTGTGACCATAATCTTCTCAGGCATCAAACAGCTTTGATGGCAATATGTGGGATATATCGTTGAATGTTCAGATTGGTTACGACATGCAAGGACTACCTATAGGCATCCAACTCATAGGCCGACCTTGGTGTGAAGCTTCCATTTTACATTTGGCAGCTGCAATAGAGGTATTGTCTTCATTGCATCACACCTACATGAAAACAGACTACCATGATAAGGGGAGGTGACCAAGTTGGCAAGAAGGGGGTGGGTGCGTAAACATAGGTTGCATTGCCAACCAAAGTGTAACCCCTCCTGTTGTCATCCACATATTTTATAGGTATCTCTGATGTGATTTGTGCGCCATTGTTTAACCAAGCATTCCAGCCCAGCTGGTTGTGAGGTTACCGTGCCTAGCGAAAGGTCTCGAGTTTGAAACCCGCTGGGCACATAAAGGGTTTGAAACTCAATGAAGTGAGCTTCAGCCCTGATTACTCCAGACCCCCTCCCCCAGACCCCCAGGAGTAAAAAAAAATGTGCGCCATTGTTTATATGAAGCAAGCTGATTGTGAGCTCCAGCTCAGTTTGTTTCTTTGGTAAAATGAGTCGAACTTGAGCTTGGTATGATGGTATGATGGCCAATTATAAACGAGTAGATAAGCCAGCTTGGATTGAGAACTTGAGTTAGGCTCGTATTCAAAGCATAATGGTGGTCACTTTGCTCCCATTGGGATTAACACTTCACTATATTAAGCTTGGGTTAAGCATAAAACGAGCGGCATCTGAGTGCCGATACATGCTCAAAGCCTTAGTAAGCTGAGCTCGACACTGCTCTATTAACAATACTAGGTCTATGGGTTCCTCTTCATTAAACAAAAGACCACAATTTTTTTGAAAGATGATGCCTTGTGTATTAAATAAATATTTGGTATGATGGCATGATGACCAATTATAAACGAGTAGACAAGCCATATTGGCTCGAGAACTTGACTTAGGGAGTGTTTGCAAAAACTTAAAAAAAATGCTTTTTTGCTTTTGGTTTTAAAAAAGTTGAAGTTAGTGGTTTCAAATGACAACTTCTGCTTAAATCAAACACTTAAAAAGCTAAAAGTTGGAAGCAAGTTGAAGGGTGCTTTAAACTGCTTTTCATTTTTTCTATTACATAAAAGCACTTATTTTATCAAACACTATCGGCTTTTGTTTTTTCAAAATCACATTTTTCTCAAACATTACCAAAAACTTTAACTATTAAGCACTTTTTCCAAAAACTTTGAAAAATTACTTTTTTTTAAGTAGAAGTAATTGCGAACACACCCTTAGGCTCATATTGAAGGCATAATTGTCACTTCGCAGTTCGCACCCGTTGGGTATTAAGCTTGGGTCTAGCATAAAACGAGCAATGTCTGAGTGCCGATACACACTCAAAGCCTTAGCGAGCTGAGCTCAAGCCAGCAGACTGGAAATAAGTTTGAGTGGAGTTTAAAATAGTGGTGATGGAGCTCGACACTGCTCTTTTAACAATACTAGGTCTGTTGGTCCGTCATTAAACAAAAAGAAAACCATTTTATGAAAGACGATGCCTTGTATTAAATAAATTAACACCGGACATGCTTTCTTTTTCAGGAGAATTGTTCATCCCCCAAGAGAAAGCCATTGCAATTCTATGACATACTCAAGGGAGGGAATTGAACTCCCTTACAAATAAGTTTTATGACAAGGGAGTATGCCGGCTGAAAATTTGTCGGCAGTGAACATTAAATTAACTTACAATGCGATGCCCTCACCTTGTTGGAACAATCTAGGATGTCAAAGACTTATAAGGTGATGTTTATCATTGTTATTACTTTTTTTGAAGAAATCTTTGTTATTTCTTGTTAAGTAGTAATAAAATACGTGAGTATAATAATAGTAATAAATTTATAACAAAAAAATAATAGTAATAAATTTATACGGAGTATATAAATAGCATCTTGTGCATGACATATCTTTGGTAATGGCTTGTGGTGGTTCCATCAGCTGCAATGGCTGGAGTTGTATAACCGGTGTTTACATTGAAGTTTTTTTTACCAAAAAGGAAAAAAATTATTAACGAAGGAGAAAGAAAAGTACAATGGAGATGAATAACAAAAACAACAGAAAAAAGAAAGCATAACAAAAGAAGGATACATAGGGGTGTTTGGTAAATGGGCAAAATTATCAGTAAAAAAAAGGTGTTTTTCAAAAATAAAAGTAATGTTTATTTACAAAAACCCTAAACCCTAAACCCTAAACCCTAAACCCTAAACCCTAAACCCTAAACCGTGTTTGGTAAATGGCGTTTCAGCCAAAAAATGGCGGTTTGACCACATTTGGCGTTTTTAATGAGTGAAAACGTTGTTTTGTAAATAGTGGTTTGGCACTAACGTTTTTGGACGGATCCGCTGAAATGAAAACGATGTAAATAGGAGAGTTTTGGGTTAGCGTTTTGAAAAATGACGTTTTGTATTAGTTTTATGGCCAAACAGCTAAGTTACCAAACATCTTCTGAAAACCCGCCAATTTTATTCCGCTGGTCAAACCTTGAATCCGCCATTAACAACCCGCTAACCGCTAAATGCCAAACACACCCATAATCTTAACTAAACCCAACCCGAAGTAAAGCCCATCCCAAAGTGCAACTGAATAGAACCTCCCTATAAGTAGGGATGGACTGGGATAGGTCGGCTCGACCCGGTCCCACCACTGTTTAGACCCAGCTCGGTCGGGCGGTACCGAGACCAGGATTGGGGCCCGAACTGGGTATAGGGGAGGGTGGGCTACGGGTTCAGAAAATAGGTGACCGGTCCGGGACCAATTCGGGCCCATTTTTTTTCCGCAATTAATAGGCTTCTTGGCGGGTAGGGCTGGGTGGTTTGGGGGTAGGAATAAATTTGACCGGCTCGGTCCCGGTAAAAACCCAGGCCGGTACCGGGCCTGCAACCCAAAATCCCAGTCCCGCCCAATCCTGTCCCGGAGCCCGGTCTGGCTTGGGCCCGATCCACCCTTGTTGTTGAAAGTTGTTGAAATACATACATGATTGTTGTTTATATTGAAGTTGTGATCTAAATAGTTTGATTTTATCATTAGTGTATTACTACTGTAAGATGGTTTGGTTGGATACTCGGAAGTGTAACTAATTAGATTCTCACACGTGCGATGCACGAGAAAAATTTAATTCAAATATCTTGTATTATTATTATTTGATTATAATAATTATACACATGGGTGGACTCGGGTCGGGCCGCCCGACCCGGAACCGGCCCGGCCCGGCACTGTTTGGGCCCGGTCCGGCCCGGCCCAGTACCCGATCTTGGGGCCGGTTCGGGCCAACCGGAACCGCTCTAATCCCGGTGCGGGCTCGGGCCCCTAAAATGTGAACCGGCCCGGTTCGGGCCTATTTTTTTTTTTGTTTTTTTAGTTTTTTCAATTCTTTTTTGTTTCTACCGGGTTGGGCTGGGTGTTTTGGGGGGGTTTGGGGGGATGGGGGGGGGGGTCGGGGGTTGTTTAGAAAATCAAAAGAAAACAAAAAAATAACATTGAACCGGAACTGGCCCGGCCCGGCCCAGAACCGCCGGCTACCCGGGCCGGTTCCGGTTCCACAATTCCCAAATTAAAGCCCGGCCGGGCCCAAGCCCGAACCGGCCCTGGCCCGAACCGGAACCGGCCCGGGTCTATCCCTAATTATACATGATAAATTCATAACAAATGCAATGTGTAAATGCATTAAAAGAAAGTGTGAAAATGCATAAATATTAAGAATTAAAAAAGGGATTTTGACCTTAATATATTACTAAAAAGTAGATAAATGGCAAAAAATGACTATTTTTTTAAAGTTCCAAAAATGTGACTGGTATGCTTTCAACTTACTAAATTACCCCTAATTTGTAGTGACTTTATTTTATAGTTACAAGACCAGTCACAGTGACCCCCGCCACAGTGACATCCGTTGTCGTGATCACTCGCCCCGGCCAGTGACAAATGTCGGTTACCGCCGCCGCCGACCATAGTGACACCTCCACGTGATTATGATGACCATAGTTACTCCGGCCACAATTACTCCAGTCACTACCGCTCGCCACCATCAATCACCAACCCTAATCCCCAACCCTACTTCACAACCCAAACTTTCCCTTTCCATACCAGCCCCTTCCCTAGGCTCACAACCCCTCCTCTGCCTCAGTCCCTCCACCGACAACTACCACGGGTGACTATGAAAGTGCCTGCACCCACTGAAGCCTCAATCACTACCCCAAATCCAGCCCCTTGACCTTCCCTCTCTACTGTCCAACCCCTTCCTTTGAGCTCCAGACATAGTCTTAATCGCCGGATTGTGAGAACACCGATAGGATTGCGGCTGTCTGGGTAACCTTGGAATCCTTGCAGTTGAAATTGGTCCAACCACTAGCCGTCGTAGGAGCAGATTCAGAGGCTGCTGAAAATATCTTTCGCTATCGTGAGCCTTCCCCAAACGCCTAATCAACGACTTCACCATCGCAGGGTTTTGCCTAGGTCTAAGGAGCTGTTGCCGAGTTTGAAAAGTTTCGTTGACGAGAAGAAGGAGAAGAAGAGAAGTTAGATATAAACTCAAAGAGAATGCTTTATGTTTCTGAACATGCTTTTACAAGGGATGATGAAGCTATATGTACAGCAATAATAAAACTGACTAAGCTAAACTGATAAGTTGAGAAACTGATCCCATAAGATCAGGGCAAATATGTTGACTTAGCCAAAAGTGTAAACTGCCTGCTATTCGGTTATTACCCCCCGGCAAGCTCAAGGGCAGGTTGAACGTAGAGCTTGGAACGAAGTTGAATAAACCGATCTTTACTCAATGACTTTGTGAATATGTCAGCAACCTGATCCACGGAAGAAACATGGTTGATGTGTAGAGTACCGGCTTCTAGCTGCTCCCTTACAAAATGAAAATCAAGGGCAATGTGTTTGGAGCGTGAGCTAATGACTGGATTCCGGGACAAGAAAGTGGCTCCTATATAATCACAGAGAAGTGTAGGAGGCTGCTTGATTGGATCATGAAGGTCACATAGGAGCTGTTGAATCCATAGAAGTTCAGCGGAAGTGTATGCAAGAGCACGATACTTCGCTTCAGTACTAGAGCGGGCCACCACACGCTGTTTTCGAGAAGTCCAACTTATCAGATTTGGGCCATGAAATACAGCAAACCCATATTGTGATCTACTGTCATCCTTATCAGAAACCCATCTAGCATCGGAATAAGCAAAAAGAGACAAGGCCTTGGTTGGTTTAAAATGCAGGCAGTAATGCATAGTTCCATTTAAGTAACACAGAATTCTTTTAACAGCTTGCCAATGTGATATGGTAGGTGCATGCATGTATTGACACACCCTATTAACCGCATAAGCAATGTCGGGACGAGTGATAGTAGCATACTGAAGAGAGCAACCACCTGCCTATATAGCTTAGGATCAGAAAAGGGTTCTCCATCAAGTCAGAGGGAGGCAGACGAATCTGAAGGTGTTGACAGGGGCTTGGAATCAATCATCTTGCTACGGACCAGAATGTCCTGAATGTACCCGTGCTGAGATAGCGTAAGGCTACTGGCCGTGCGAACAATTTGTATGCCGAGAAAATAATTTAGGTCACCAATATCTTTGAGAGCAAAATTTTGATGTAGATTAGTGATAAATCGTTGTAGAAGCTGAGGATTGTCTCCTGTGATGATCAGGTCATCGACATACACTAAAATATACATGGTGGTAATGGCAGACGAGTGAACAAAAAGCGATGTATCAGACTGACAGGCACGAAAACCATGAGCGATAAGGTGAGTTTTCAGCTTTGTAAACCATGCCCGGGGGGCTTGTTTGAGGCCATAAAGTGCCTTATGTAATCGACAAACATGATGTGGATGATTAGGGTCTTCAAATCTTGGGGGCTGTGACATGTAAACCTCCTCCGTCAAGTCACCATTCAAGAAAGCATTATTGATGTCGAGTTGCCGGATCTGCCAGCCATGAGATAGAGCAATGGATAAAACCAATCGAATAGTAGTCGGCTTAATAACGGGACTGAAAGTTTCAAAGAAATCAACCCCTTCTTCCTGATTGAATCCTTTTGCCACCAAACGTGCCTTGTACCGCTCAATAGACCCATCCAAGTGCCGCTTAATCCTGAAAATCCACTTACAACCAATGATATTAACATTACAAGGACGAGAAACAAGAGACCAAGTGTTATTCCTCATTAAAGCATCAAATTCCGTGCGCATTTCATTTGATCAACAAGTGCATTTAAGGGTCTGGGAAACCGTCTTGGGCTTAATGGTTTGATGGGAGTCAACAGAAGTATGGAAGGTTTTGGGTTTAAGGGAGTTGGTTCTGGCACGAGTTATCATAGGATGCTGAGTATTGCTGGCAGGTCGGTAATAATGTGGTATGGACTGTTTGGCTTGAGAACTAAGAGTAGAGCGTCGGTGAGAGGGACCAAGAGAGGGTGGAGATGGTTCTGGCTTAGAGGGTGAGGAAGGTGTGTGGGGAGAGGGTGGGGAAGGCTCTTACAGTAAGGGACTCAATGGTGAGGCTGTGATTGTGTGTGAGGCTTGAGCAAGAATGTCAGGACAAGCTGGTTCAGGGAAGTTAGCCGGGGGCAGTTGACTTGGTACTGGGATTTGAGTAGCAAACGGGAAAACTTCTTCATTGAAGACAACATGACGGGATATATATATACGAGACGTGGATGGATGCAAGCACAAATACCCTTTGTGGGAAGCACTGTACCCGATAAACACACATGGAAGAGATCGAAAATCCATTTTGTGAGCATTGTAAGGACGAAGAAAAGGGTAACATAAGCAACCGAAGGACCGTAAAAAGGCATAATCAGGATCCCGGTTGTAAAGTTTTGAATAAGGGGAACAGTAATTCAAGATGGGTGTTATGGTGCGATTGTGGAGGTAGGTAGCAGTCTTGAACGCATGCTCCCAAAATTCTTGTGGAAGAGATGATTGAGCGAGGAGAGTTAAACCTTTTTCAACAATTATTCTATTGCGGCATTCAACGACGCCATTTTGTTCGGGAGTGTACGGACAGGAGAGTCGATGATGTATGCCATACGTTTGTAAAAGTGTGGATACATTACGAAACTCTCCTCCCCAATCAGTTTGAAGGTTTTTAATATCATAATCAAATTGTGTTTTAATCATGGTGCGAAAACGTATAAAAGTCTGAAGAACCTCAGATTTGTGGGATAAGAAATAAATCCATATGAATTTTGTAAAATCAGCAACAAACAAAACAAAGTAACGATGTCCATTGATAGAAGATACAGGAGATGGTCCCCAAACATCAGAATACAACAATTCAAAAGGTTTATTCGACGAAACATGAGAATGAGACAAATGAAATATGTGACTTTTTCCTAACTGACATGACTCACAGACACGGGACAACTGCATGTTCGATATAGGTAGGCCAAAAGTGGAAACAAGACGTCGAAGGATGGATTCATGAGGATGTGCAAGGCGGTAGTGCCAGCCAGTTAACATTGTCCGAACACCAGAAAGAGCCATGTGGGGTGAGCCTTTATTTGCAGGAGAAGGAAGGCGGTAGAGGCCATTATCAACGCGGCCGTGAAGGAGTGGTTTGCCCTGAAAAGTCTTAATAACACAATGATTAGGCCAGAATTCCATGTAGACGTTATTGTCACTAGTGAGTTTAGAAACACTCAGTAGGTTCTTGGTCAATTCAGGGACAATAAATACATTAGGTAAATGTAATGAAGACATAGAAGTTGAGCCAGTATGAGAAATAGACAAATGGTTACCATTCTCGACTTGCAACTTGTCATCACCAGTGTAAGGGGTGGAAATATTTAATTTTCCAATATCAGGAGAGACATGATTGGTAGCTTCAGTGTCGAAGTACCAGGCTGGATCAGTGATGGTTGATGGGCTGCAGTAGGTAGTGAAGTTGGCCCGTTTGGTTTGATCACGAGGGTTAGGACGACGGGATGGATATGCAGTCTGATTGGAACGTTGCCAACAATCAATGGCTTCATGTCCAGGCTTGGTGCAAATCTGGCAATAAACACGTCGACGACGTGCATCAGAACCTCAAGAATTACTGGTAGTAGTTGCCTTCGTGGGTGTAGGAGGAATGAGCAGGTCTGTTGGGAGTGCGAGAGGCAGAATGAGCCACATGAGAGTGGTGAAGCGGAGTAGGAGTTGGTGCTGGATGAAGTTGAGTAGGCATTGGTGCTGGAGGAAGTTGAGCCACAGCCTGACGAGCGAGTTCATGCTCCAGGTTAGCTTCTTCTTGGAGCAGGAGGCCAACAAGATCATCAACACATGCACCATCGGAGTGGAGCATGAATGCAGACTTAAAAGAGGCATAAGAGGAGTCCATACCATGGAGAATGTAGCCAATGAGATCCTCATTAGAGATAGGATGAAGATTTTCTGTCAAGGAATCAGCAATGGCTCGCTTACGCTCAATATAATCCATCATAGACAGTCCTCCTTTAGAGAGGGTTTGGAGTTGGGTTTTCATGGCCATACGACGTGCATGAGTTTGTGCGTGAAAAGTGCGTTCAATGGTCTGCCAGGCTGCTTGAGAGGTGGAGCAGCGAGCAACAATGGCAAGGGCACGTTCAGATAGGGTAGATTTGATCCACAGGAGAACAAAACGATCCCGCTTTTTCCAGGTAGCGAATTCGGGATTGGGATTGATACTGACAGTGCCATCTTCAGCGGTGTCTGAGATGAGTTCCGGAGGTGGATAAGGGTCGAGAATGAAGCTTTCAAGATCAAATGTTTCAAGGGCAGAGATAATTGTGGTGCGCCAGAGGGAATAATTATCTCGATCAAGTTTAATACTGATGGTTGGGATTTGAAAGTGGATATTATTTGATGCAGAATTGGCTGCAGTAAGAAGATGTGGAATAGCCATGGTAGTAAGGTAGCAACCAGGGGGAAAAAAATCAAGGCTCCGATACCATATAAACTCAAAGAGAATGCTTTATGTTTCTGAACATGCTTTTACAAAGGATGATGAAGCTATATATACAGCAATAATAAAACTGACTAAGCTAAACTAACTCCTAAATATCAGGCACTATCTCTACATGATAAGTTGAGAAACTGATCCCATAAGATCAGGGCAAATATATTGACTTAGCCAAAAGTGTAAACTGCCTGCTATTCGGTTATTATTAAGGAGAGACTCACCTGTTTGGCGGCGGCGGTGGTAGATGACAGAAGCAGTGGCGGAGGAGTGAGGGGAGTTGCCAGTCGGAGAAGAAGGAGAAACGTCAAAGTAAAGGGGAGGGCTGGAGAAGAGTTAATACTTAGGTCATTTTAATTCTAAAATAGTCACTTTTTTGTCTAAACGAAAATTGATCATATTTCATAGCTAATATTTTTGTCATTCTTTCATTAAAAAATTGGATGAATCAAATCATAATATGGATGTTGATACTTGATGGAGTTTAATCCAACTACGACAGCTATATGTTTACGAGATTTGGGCAGCGTAAGACAGTATTATTAATCAGGAATCCAGTCCCTTGATAGGAAATATACATGAAGTATTTATAGACCTTAGGAACAAGTGTTCTGGGAGGAAACTGATACAATAAATGCTCATTAATCAAAATAGACTCATGTAACGCCTTGGACGTTGTGCAATGATTATCTCCTTTAGGTCTACGTTTCTTTCGTTTGTTTGTGCCTGCTGCCAGATAGCTATACTTGAACGATAGTCTACTACGTAAGCCCTAAGGAAAGTCCGACCTTACTAGAACTTCGGACCTCTGAGACCTGCTGTCCAGCCTGACCTGGTGGTGAGTTTTTTTCGTGGGTCTGATTCCTAATTAGGCCCATTGGCTAAATAATATTAATCCTGTTTATGGGCTGATCCCATTGAGGGCTTGATCCCGTTAAGGGCTAATCTCGTTGAAGATTTGATCCCGTTTATGGGCTAATCCCGTTCAGGGCTTTTAATCATAAGATAATTCTAAATGCAACCTCTGTTTTGCTAAACACAGCCCGCTATTAATAAAATATAAATAACATACCTATTGTTGTTCCCAACATCATCTTATTGCCGTCTTTGAGGGCTCTCATATAACCATTCCAAGTGGCCATTCAAGTAGTGATTGAAGGTGAAAGTCTTTCCAAACTATGGTATGTTAATTCCATTTCTAAAAAAACCACCAAGTAACCGATGCTTTATTAGAAGGAAGAAACAATATATCTGGCTCACTTGGTTGGATGCGCAAGAATAAAAAAAATTAACAGAGCAATACAGAGCACATTACTGTAATTTCACGTCTCCCTAGCTCCATTCCATGGCCGCCGCTGCCGCCCCAACCTTTGCAACCACCTTCGCGGTGACCACCTCCTCCGCCTCCTTCATGATGTCCACTACCGTAACCTCCACTTCTTCAGCGCCCACCTCCTCCCTTCCTCCTCTGGATTGAGACTCGTCCAAGGAGTTATTTTCCGATCACGGAAGATAAATACTCCGTATATTGTTTCAATCTTACGAGGTGAGTATAAAATAAGGGAAAATCGCATATATGATCCCTCAGTTATCCACGAAATTAAAATCTTGGACCTGTATTTCTGAGATTGTAAATGTCATCCCTCAATTGCCCAAAATGTTGTAAATGTGGTCCTTTAAGTAGTGAAATGTACTATCTCCCACATTGTATATTTCACCCCTCACAAGGACCACATTTACAACATTTTGGACAATTGAGGAGTGACATTTACAATCTCAGAAATACAGGTCTGAGATTTTAATTTCGTGGATAACTGAGGGACCATATATGCGATTTTCCCATAAAATAAAGTGAGATCTGCACTTGATGTCCTCTTGAATATGATGGGATGAACGAGTGGTGGGAGGTTGGTTCTTCGTATGGGTTGATTTAATTGAAAGGGTAATATTGACATTTTAAAAAAATTACTTACGTTGGGGGTTGTGAATAATAAAATGGGAAAATTTCACAAATAAGCAAAATTAAGAAAATAATATCATTTTTGTCTAGGCAAGATTCGGTTTTCACAAATAAGCTACCTAAGCTTTTTATTTCAAAAATATCACCTATATAAACTACCAAAATTAGAAACTCAGAGCTCGACCACCAAAATTAGAAACCCAGAGCTCAATATCGTTCGAAGATGGCTACCTTCCTCTGCGCGCGGAAATCCTCTGCGAAGTAGTTTCCGATTAGTAATGTTCAATCGAAGCTATCTACCACATCAAAATATCGATCTCAATCTTCCAAACGAAGATTGAATCGATCAGCTGTGAAGACTCTACAGCAAATCAAGTATCGTTTTCATAAAATTTGATCAATCATCGAGGTCAGATAATTACAATTCCATATTTCGTTCAGTGTTGAATGTAATTTTGTTGCGTTTGTTGATAAAGTGATGATGTTAAATAAGTATGTTTCTGCGTATCGCACTACTATGTTGATCATGATTCTCGTTGATCGTTAATATTAAATAAGTCTGTGTTTCTGGATATCAACATACTTTGTAGATGAATTGATTATTAAATATAGAATGATATTTGTTGTGAATAACAGGAAACATGGAAACAATACCTGTTTTTGTTCATCACGGTGGTTTTTGGAATGAAGTCATGGAATATGTAAACTTCTGTGTTTTTGGAATTACTTTGGCTACAAACAACTCTTTTGCTGATTTGATTGAAAAGGTAGCAGATAGGATTGGAATACAAACAACATCAACCTCATTAATAGTTCAATACAAAGTGAGAGACAACTATCCACCACTAATGATACAAGATAACTCAGCTCTGTTGTTTTATTTGCATCTGAAGAAACAAGATACAGATGTGACGAAGTTCCCTCTATGCATCACCACTGCTGGTGTACAAGAAGAAACAAATTGCAACATGTTTCTTGTTGGAAATAAACAAGTGGAAACAACATCTGGGATACAAGAAGGAACACTGTCAGAAGAAAGCTCAACGATTAGTGAAGAGATAGACATTAATGCTTTTGTATTAGCATGGGCAAATAAAACAACTGATGAACTGCTACAAGATAAATTTGTGGAGTCAGAAGCAACAAAGTGCAACAACAGTGATGTAGCCCCTGAAGTAGGACTGATATACAAGAACCGTGCTGAGTTCAAGAAAGCACTGAAGTTGAATGCTATAAAAAATCACTTCCAGTACATGACTGAAAAGTCAAATAAGATTTGTTTTGTGGCTAAGTGTTTGGATGAAAATTGCAGTTGGGAGATAAAAGCAAAACAAATTGGAACAATGGGAAGGTTTAAAGTTGTGAAGCTTGTAAATACACATTCCTGCAGATTAGAAGTAAGATTAGCAGATCAAAGGCATGCAACATCAAGTTTGGTAGCAGAATGCATTCAATCTAAGCTATTGGATCCAAAGGCGCAATATAATGCAACCGATGTAAAGAGGGACATGCTACAGGAATATGGTGTTGAAATCAGTTACTTAAAAGCATGGAGAGCAAAAGAAAAAGCACTAAATAAACTCAGAGGAAAACCAGAAGAATCATATGGCTTTCTGCCACGGTTCTTGAATATTGTGAAACAAACAAATCCTGGATCATTTGTGCAACTTAAAATTAATGAAGACAACACATTCTTGTATGTCTTCATGGCTATTGAAGCATCAATTAAGGGCTGGGAATTTTGCAGACCAGTTATTGTAGTTGACGGGACATTTTTGACTGGGAGGTATGGCGGAACACTGTTAACCGCATCAACACAAGATGCTTGTGGAAAAATATTCCCTATTGCATTTTCTGTAGTTGACTCTGAGAATGATGAATCTTGGAAATGGTTTTTCAGAAATATTAAAGAAGCTTTGGTTTATAGAAGTGGAATGGTGATTGTTTCTGATAGACATGAGAGTATTGCAAAAGCTGTTTTAGAAGTGTATCCAGAATCTGGGCATGGGGTATGCATATACCATCTATTCAACAACCTCAAGACAAAGTTCAAAAGAAAAACAAAGAAAATGAAAGATAGTTTTTTTTGAAGCTGCACAAGCATATACCAAAGATGACTTTGATTGGCACATTGAGGAACTGAAGAAACTGGATGAGGGGATAGTACCATATTTATACTCAGTTGGGTATGAAAAATGGACTAGAGTTTTCTCAACATAAAAAAGATACTCAACAATGACTTCAAATATAGCCGAATCCTTGAATGCCGCATTGAAAAAGATAAAAAATCTGCCAATAACTGCGTTGCTACAGTTCTTGCATGCATTGGTACAAATATGAACACATATGAACAGAAATATTGCAAGAAACACATTTACCAAACTTGCAAAAGTTCCACATGAAACACTAGAGCAAAACTACCTCAAATGCATGAAGCTAAAGGTATATAGTGCTTAAATTATATGAAGTTAAATTTTATTAAAAACTGTGAATATAACAGTTTGAATTGCAGGTGATTCCTTCTAGTGAAGCAATATTTACTGTTTCTGAAATGAACACAAGCTTCATTGTTAACTTAGAGGAGAAGAATTGCACTTGTAGAAGATTCCAAATTGATGAATTGCCATGTATTCATGCACTGGCAGTACTCAAAAAGATGAATCAAGAGCCATACAAATTTTGCTCATCTTACTACTTAAAGGACACGATGCAACAAACATATCAACGGACTGTGCATCCAATTCCAGATCAGGGGACATGGCCAATGAATACTTGCGATCAAATGAAAATCTATCCCCCACATGGAAGGAAAAAGTCTGGAAGGCCAAAGAAGCAGAGGTACAAGGCACACTGGGAGAGTACAAGTACACACAAATGTGGGAAGTGTGGAAACCAAGGGCACAACAGAAAGACATGTAGGAATGCACCACAACAGTAGAAAGTTTCTATAATGTAGTTTCTATAATATAATTGTTTTACAAAATCTCTCAATTGCTACTGTTCAAACTCAATTTAATATAAATATGCATTCATATTGTTAGTGTCCATTCTGTATAAGTTTTATTTATATTCTGTGACGAAAAGTTCTATTATGGGATTAAATACGAAAGCAGAAACAATAAACAACAAGAATAAACAAGTAAAAAACAACTGCTATTTTTGATAAACAAAAAGAAATGAAAAGAAACAATAGAAGAAACAATTTTTTCTAAAGAATAAACAGGCACAAACACAGTAAGGAAACAAAGTGTAGAAACATGAAGGTAGTAATGTAATTACTTAAGGAAGACATTCAGAAAACAATGACATAAACATAAGATATAAAATAAGACATAGAAACAAACAGAAACAAACAGAAACAACAGAAACAAATATAAACAATGAAAACCACTAACAGAAACAAACAGAAACAACACAAAAACATATGACACGGAACAATAATATCTTTTCAAAACAACTGTGTAACAACAGTAAACAGTACAACTGTATCACAAAAGTAAAACAGTATGTTTCCAAAAGAACAAGTTCATATTTGGTTTTTACATTACAAGATCACAAAAACAAAAGTACATTAATTCTTGCTACATCTATTTAATTAACTTCTTCAGCTTCTTCCTCCTGGGTTTGATTTCTTCAGAATCACTCTGGACTTCACCACTTATTTTGGACAATCCATATTGGTAGAGAAAGTAGGAAAGTCTGGTCCTGTAAAGCTCAATATCCAAAAATTCAAGAACCGCTATGCCATCGATGAAATACTAAGCAAAAGCAGCAACAAAAGCACCACAGTCACTATAAAAAGTACAATAAAAAACAATATTGTCAATGGTAGAAACATAAACAAAATATTAAAAAAAAAATATAATTAAATAAATGAAGTTACCATGATTCTTGGACAGGCAAGTCAAGCACAAATTTCATCTCTATATCCCTGTGAATATCCAATCCATACCTAGAGAAGTGATCCATATGTCGAAAAAACAATGGAAGCATCACAAGTAGTGGCTGAACAACTTCTTTAGCAAGAGATGCATCCCTTGGACTGTTCATTGAATTATAAACATAAATGCACCAATCTTTGATGCAAAACCTAGCAAGAATCCAATGCATCTGTTTCTTAATATACAATGGCATGAGAACATGTTCAACTTCATCCCAAGGCTTAGAATAGGGCAACTGCAAGCCTACAATACAATCACATATACTTGCAAATTTTGACCAAGAAAAGGATTTATCCAAGGTTGCAGCATATGCTTTTTGTATATTGACTTGAAAAAGAACATCAGTTGTTGTGAAACTGCATTTGCATATCTTAGTAACTTTGGCTTTTTTCCTAAAATAATGAAAGATCACATCGATATGCTGCAAGAAAAGGGAAAAAATAGAAAAAATAATAATAAATAAACAAATATAAACAAATATCAACAAATATAAATAATATATTAAAAAAGTAAATAAGCATACAGAATCTGATATCATTTGACCAATGTAGTGAAGACTATGGAACCATGTCTTAGATTCCACAAAAGCAACAGTAAAGTCAAATCCAGGACTGAGATGATCAATTTTCTCAGGATACATTAACTTTGATCTACAAAATAATAAAAACTTAAGTTAAAAACAAAGATATAAGAAAATCTATAATATATAATTTTAAACAGACCTCTTCCGCTTATACGCTTTTTCATCGATCCAAATATTAAAAGCCGAAAGAACATCATATGCTGGGACACAGATTGCTTCATCGACAAAAGGACATGGAACCAGGGCAACGGAAGACTGTGGAGACTCACATCCTGAAGTAAACTCACCAACAAAAGGAGATTTGACGAAAACACTAGGCTTAACACTCCTTTTATGCTTAACATTGGATTCATCGGTATGAACAACTGATATAGGTGTAATAAAAGGAACTAAAGCCATCGTAGGATTTGTAGAACACGAAGCAGGATCTGTGCTAGACAACTACAAAAATAAAAGTGAATATTAAAACAAAAATAAAATGAGAAAAAAAGCTAAAGAAAAATGAAAATAAATTCAATACCTTGGCACTCTTAAAATGTGAAACAAGGGAATCCAGTTCAGCATAAAAAGATTCATCATTAACACAATCATCACAGGGAGAAACTGGTTGTTGATCAATTGGTTGATTCTCAACAGTCATCATATCAATTACAGTAGAAAAAACCATCTTTTGGCAATGCTCCAAGAACATAGAATCAAGTTCACAATGCTGCATATCAGTAACACTAGATAAAACAAGATTATGAACGTAGTCCATCAGCACAGAATCATGCTCATTTAACATAGAAGTTGTAACAGTTGAAAAAACTAGAGTGTTGATGAAATTGAATAAGACATCAGAATCTTCAGATGAAACAACAGCTGCAACACTATCAGACACCAACTCCTGTAAAAAAATATATACTTCATAAACTAGTAATGACAAAAACCTTAAACCAAGGAAGGAAACAAAATAAAACAATGTAAAACATAATGCAACATATGAAAACCAAACCTGTTTATTATCTATGGCATTCACACAAGGATCAGTAGAAAATATTGGATCATGTAAGAGACCACACTCAAGACCAACATGAACAAAGTCATCAGTAGCAACAAAGTGAGACTCAATCTCATTAAGAGAAAGAACAATTGTAGCATCATCTTCAGAAACATTGTTTTCAGAAACTGGAGTTTGTCTACAAGGAGTTTGGTGTGAGGATACAAAACCTGAAACTGGCTGCTTGGAAGAGTGAAATTGATTAAGTGTTATAACACGATCAAGCTTATGTTCTAAAACAGTAAACTTTCCTTGAACAAATTCCTTGAAATCTGCAAGTTTACTATCTAGACGTTTTTCAAAGTCAAATAAATCAGAGCTTGATACAGCATTGCCAGAAAAAACATGAGGCAACTCCCCAGCATTTGAAGTAGAAGGAACACTTTGGGGCCTTAAGATATTAGCAGCAAACAAAGCATCCAATTCAGGGTATTTTTTTTCAACATCAGAAAGAACAAGATTGTGTAACTTCAATTGCATAATAGAAAAACAAAAGACAAAATGTTGAAAATCAAATAAAATATTAATAAAAAAACATAAAACAAGGAAAACAAGTTTTTAAAAAATACCTGAGAAGCAGATAAACAAAGAAGTTCCATATTCAATTTCTTGAATGTGAGAGGAATAGATGAGTGCCAAGACAGTATACGGGGAAGTAGAGAACCCGATCTTGAAGCAAAAGCGCCATCACAGTAATCACAACATTCATAAAACCACACCTGAAGTGCTAAAGGAAATCCCAGAATACGGTAAAAGAAATAATCACTTTTTATCGTATCCGCTCTCACAAGTCTGCCCTTCAAATTTTGTAAAGTTATATCAAAAAGGTCCTTCCCCCAAGGGTACAAATCCCACAAACCAGCATTCACAACAGCAACATAAGTTTCACTAATAAACTTTTCCTTGGGCGAAGTAAACAAGAACAAACCAATAACATATAGAATGGCAATTTTCACAGCATCTTCATCACAATCCGCATGTTGACCAAGAAAACAAGCTGCAATTGCTTCACGACTAACTTTAGCACAGTTGTTGAAATATTTTTTGGTGAGGTCATTGGTGTCTAATGAAGTAAGAGTAGACTCATCAAATTGACCAGAACACTTTAAACCAGTAACAACAGCAAATTCAGCAATGGAGAACCGCAAACGAAAACCAGAAACTTCAAACCACATCTCATTTGGAAGACTGTGACTAAGTTCTCTTAAAAGCAAACAATGAACAACTTGAGGCTGAAATTTAAGGTCTTGAAAATCTAGGAATTTGCCAAAGCAGGTTTCCCTAAATAAACTCAATTGAACGTCAGTCAATTTCGCCTTCAAATTAGATGCAATGCAATCTTTGTTATAGCTAGAAACCCTACTGTTAAACCAGGATTCACATGGAACAAAATACTCCCATTCCTGAATTAAAAAAAAACAAAAAAAAAAAAACAAAATGAAATCAACAAATTGAAATAAAAACAAAGTGAAACAAATGAAACAACAAATTACATACACAAATGCAAACAATAATGTAAATATACCAACACGGTAAGTAATTACCTTAAATCCGCCAGGTTTGATTTTAATTTTCCTCTTATTGACGGAGATCTTAGACTTCTTCCCTTTTGCATTAGCAGAAACTTTAGCCCTCTTCTTCACAGGCTTAGAAGCATTTTCGTTTTTTCTCTTCTTCCCAGCGAGATTCGAACTTCTACTTCCAGAAGCGGAATAGGAAGAACTCTGAGCCTCAGAATTACTTCCCTTATTACGACATGCAACAGACGCCCTGGTAGTACGACGAGGAGTATTGTCGTTTTTCCTCTTCTTCCCAACGGCATCAGAACTTGTACCAGAAGGGGAGTGCGAAGAACTGTTAGCCTCAGATTCACTTCCATTAAAGTCAGAATCACTTCCTTTAGCATCAGAATCACTTCCTTTATTCAATGCTACAGACGCTCTGGTAGTACGACGAGGATTTAAGCTTGACATAGTTCTGAAAAACGATAAACACTGATAATGCAGAGGATGAAGAAAAGAGAAGAAGAAATTCAAGGAGATGATGGAAGAAGAAGTCGAAGCAAAGAAGGAAACCGCGAAAGAGAAAAATGAAGTGCGACGGAAGGGAACGTTGTAGAACGTGCAGAAGGTTGGATCGATATTGGCGGAAACCGTCTATAATTGAAATAAAAAAACAAAACTGAAAAGATAAAAGTTTAAATCTGAAAACAAAAAGTGGTTGAGACATTAATGATATACGGGCCACTAAAGTAGCCCAAAGGGGTAATTTCCACTAATAAAATATGGGCTGCAAAAAGAATCTCCCTTAATCATCATAAATTAGTATTTGGATCATGGCTGTAGTCCATGATACCATCAGTACTAAAGGAGGGTAGCCAATAATACAACCAAATCATATTATCCTAAATACTTGTAGTTTTTATCTTAATTTGTACATTATAATAAATAAAGTAATGTAATTAATTTTATTTACCAAATGAAAACATAGTTCCGTTTTGAATTTCTACAATTTCTATTTCTTTTTAAATTCGTTTGGTTTAATATTTCAATTCCAATTTCAGACTTAAATAAAATAATTTCCATCTTATAAAAATATAAAATTCAGTTGCATTTTCTAGAAAAACAATTCCAAACCGTCTTTAATTGATTTTTTTTTTTAAATTTTATTTACTTCATTATTCTCAAAAACTACAACATATTAACCCATAACAAACTACTCATGACTCAAGAAATCAATAAATCTATTTGATATTCTTTATTTATAATAACCTACTCATATTGTCCAATGGGTAGGACCGAAAACAGAGGTGGGCCGTGGGCATTAGAAGTTCAAACCTAAACTTTACCACTATGCTTAACTTAAATTCCTTGAATTTCTCAAGATCGAACACCTTCCGGCTTCTTGAAAAGTTTACGGCTTTGTTTGCAAACAATTAATTTAAGTGCTTTGGGTTTTTTTTTTTTTTTTTAAAATACTTATTTTACCAAACAATATCAACTTTTACTTTCTCGGTTTTCGTGTAGAATCTACTTTTTACTTTTTCTATTACACAAAAGACACTTATTTTACCAAATACTACTAACTTTTAGTACTAATCATTTTTTCCCAAAAAGTGATTTTATTTAAGCACAATCAATTGCAAATAGAGCCTACATAGGCTGCCGGTTGCAATCTTTATTTTAGACGTTACACATATAGTCATAAAAATATTCGTAAGATCAAGAATCAAATGAATAAAAAACACCATATTAAAAACAAAGCATATTCAAAGTACCCCAACATATGGGTGGGCAAAAATACAGGAAAATCGGTATACCACACTTGAAATAAATAAATATTTTTTAAAGGGTTAAATTATATTTTTTTTATGTATTCAGTATTGGTGTCATATGAAATCTAATAACTAACTGCAAGGACTGAGTTGGTCTCGACATGAAAATTATCATAACCTTCTCTCACCGCCCAACTTAGAGCATAATAGATGGCGATAATCTCAGCCTCAAGAGAAGATGAAGCCACAATGTCGAAGTTGGATGCCTGAACAATTAAGTTCTCCTTGCTGTTTCGAAGAATAGCACCTCCTGCCGCAGTCTCAGATAAGTATTGAGCATCAATATTCAATTTCATACCCTACTTAGGTTTACTCCACTTAATCACCTTGAGATTGCATCCCCTTCTTCTGAAATCTGGCCGAATGAGCTTCTCGGTATCCAAGATATTATCTACTGAACGAATGAGCTTCTTGGGGTTGCATCCTCTCGTTTCTCTCCTCTCTTTAGCGACTCTTTCTCTGCTTTATTTTTTTCGTTTCTTCTCAGTGCTCGGACGAACGGAGTCATCGCAATTTTCACCGGCTTCAAATACGCTCCTCTCCCTTTCTTTTCCCTTGTTTTCTTTCTTCTACACCACTTCTATCAAATACATCCCTTTTTTCTTTCATCCTTTGATATCCTTACAATTCTCCTCTACCAGAAAAGCCCATGAATGGCGTGAAGTTCCTCCAAAGACCAATAGAAGAAAAGTCTCACTATTCAGTTCCTCACTCACTTTTAAGGTGATTTTAGGGTTTTAAATATCTACATGTTTTAATTTGAAAACGAAAAGATTTTTCTCTTTTTCTGTTAATACGAATTAGTTTCAATAGGTTTTATTTTTTCTGAATTTATGCTTTCTTTGTGAATTAATGTTTAGGTTTGACTATTATAATTGGTTAAATTCACACTAATAATCCGTACTTTTATCGATTCAACAAGAATAATCCGTACCGAGTAAATGTATAGAAATAATCCAAACAAGTAAACATATTCACAAAAACAGATTCATAATACGAAGATAACGGTCGGGTTACGCTTCATCTCTCCTCCCACGTTAGTAATTGACGAGGGTCTATAAACATAACTAATTTTGCATCTTTTTGATAAATAAAATCAACTAGGCAAATCTGGATTTCACATAAAACAATTCTGAATTGAAATCACTTTAATCCTAAATTCCTAATACTTATTTAAAATCCATTTAATGAGAACGTACGCTCAAGAGATTACTTGCGAAATTCTTCTAAACACTTTCAAACTGTTCTTGTGGGCTATTTATAATATGAGATATCTCCACCACCTCTTGACTATTTCATTTCAGTTGTGTATGATCATTCGATAGAGGGATAGAGGGAATTAAGTTGGGATAGAGGGAAGGATTGTGCAAGGACAAAGATACAAGAAAACTATTTGGATATGTATTCTGATGATGGATTCCATGCTCAGTTTTCTACTATAAAACTCCGAATGTTGATGATTTCGAAGAAGAGCTGTACGTATAGATTTAGGGTTTGCATAACAAATTAAAAATAGGGGTAAATCAGTAAATGTTTATAATATAGCAGATGGAGTGATGGATATGATAAAAAGCTCTACAAAAATTGAAACGCTAAAGATAAAATAGAAATGAAGATGGTGGATTAGAGAAGATTTTTTTTGGCTTGGATGAAGAAGCTACTACGCATACATACAGCCATTCAGGGAGTCAGGGAGATGAAGAGATAACGGAGATTATAACAGAGCCGTTAGTCCCGTAGACTTCCACCTATTTTTGTGAATAGGTTTATGAGTTAAGATTATTTATATCAATTTGCTTAGTACAGATTATTGGTGTAGAACGTGTAAAAGTACAGATTATTTATATGAATTTTGCCATTATAATTTCAGCTATTATACTTATTTATGTTTTCCGATTTTAAGTAAAATTTTACTCCGTATATGTTATGATGTTGAATTCTTGACCACTTTGTTTCATCAATATATGGTTGTGATGTTAATTATTGAAATATTAGTTTAACTATTGTATTTTAGTTTATGCCCATTACATGTTTGTTGAAAAGATTCCATGAATATCTTGTTCACATGTAAGGTTTTTGGGAAGTGCACTTAGTAAATCGCTAATTTTTTTACAGATTCATTGTACCCATTTGATGTTTTGTTAGTGTATAAAGTAACTTTTAAGCAAGAGTATATCTTTGCTTTAAGAATGTTATAACTTATAGTAGTAGTTTTTTTGAAAGGATAACTTATAATGAACAAACAAGTACATATTTTCTTCAAAATGTTTGAAAGTTAAACATTGTGATACATCTAAAGTTTATGCTCTCATCATTAAAGATTTCCACTCTATTCAAATAATCTCCATGGTCAAGTAAACTCACTCTTTATTGGTGTTATGAGTTTTTATGTATACCTTGTTTAGTTTTATTATTTCAAAATGCAGATAACTCACAACAATATGAGTGTAGAGAATCAGTACAGGTATGTTAGAATGTAGAGAATTAACTGGATAGTGCTGGGAGATGGAGGAGCCTATGTGACACATGAAGAATGTCAAAAGTGGTGATCATGGAAATGGTTTGCTAGTATAACTGGATAGTGCTGGGAGAAAGGTTAATGTACAACATGTTTCAGATGAATCAACTAAAAATCATGTGAAAATGCTATTTGGGACGGACAAAGAAAGGTTGCATTGGACGGTTGAGCATTTTATGTCATTAGTTATGGGCGTTTAATGTGATGTAATGCAAGAATGAGAGATCAAAACACATGATAACCAAATATATAGTTCTTGTAACTAATTACTTTGTAAAGTTAATGGTCTTGTATTTAGATTTAGGTGCATTAAGATTTGCTTTGGTTTTCAATGATGTACTTTATATGTTATGAAATTGAACATGACTTTGATATTATTGAATTTCAAATGTAAGTGTGTCTTATATAGTTCTTTTCTTTTCAAATATGCTTTTGTTTTTTTAACATGTATTGTCATCATCTGGACACTGTCTGTGCTCATGTAGTAGTTGGTTGTGTTAAGGTAGCAATCATACTTAAATAAGTTATATTTTTCTATGCTCAAACAATATGTGTAAGTGCACTGTGTCCCAAATTTAGTTAAAAAAGTTCTTATCATAGACAACTATTGTTTGGATAAAGATAATTATTGTAAGAAGATATAATGTGTGTGCGACATATTTACATTCAGGAACGTGTTTGTAAGCCCAAACATATACAAAATATACGGAGTAATAGTTAACCAAAACAATGTGTCTGACAGAATGAACTGTATGTCTATGAGAAGCAATTGTTTGTTTGGCTACATGAATTGTCTGGGTGACAGAACGTGTTGTCTGTCTGGCAGAACTAATTGTCTGTTTGGTAGCATGAATTGTCTGGATGACAGAAAGCCTTGTCTGTCTGGCAGAAGTAATTGTCTGTCTCGCAGAATGAAATGTTTTTCATACAGACAAATAGGTGGCAAATACAGACATAAAGATGACTTCAATCCTTCATTAGCATAATCACATGTGTACATTCATTTATTTCGCCTTAAGGGCAATTCCACTTAATCCGTTACAAAAGATACACTTCGAGAACACAAGTAGCTCTAAATCTATCGTTGTAAATCCAAAGCTATACAATATAACTAATTACAACAATGAAATATTTAGTTAAAATTTGCTATAAATCTCTCATTCTCGACTTTTGTTATGGAGGCTCATCATCTCCGTCATAAAAAGAGCATATTTTATTTCTGCCAACTGAAATTTCCATTATGACAACCAACACAAGGCTGCAGTAGTACGCTGCAGTAGTCAAATGTGCCTCTTTAGATTCATAAATATCTTCATTCAACAAACTTCCAACATGTATTCTTTGCTATGTCACCGGGGGAAGTGCACTGCAATGATCAAATGTGAAATTCCATAAGAATTTGAATTTCATAACAAGATAACAGATTGCATTATAAAATCTAACAGACAATATTTGTATGTGTCAAACATTTCATATCTGAGTCTGGCAAGAAAAATCTCTCTAATAGGCAATAATTGTTTGTCCCAAACATTTCGTGTCTATCTCTGAAAAAAGAGCTCCAAATGAGGACACAAAGCAAGCCAATTGAATCTTTTTCCTTCCAAAAGGATCAATTCAAGCTAATCCTATTTCTAAGGATGTTTTTTGTTTTGGAAACCATAGACCCTATTCTGATTTGCCCATTGCTAAGAGGAGTTCCCTTGTCAGGTTCTTGGAGAAGAAAAAGGACACAGAAGCATTATTTTTCAATTGAAAGTCTCAACATTGAATTGTAGAAAAAAGTGAACTTCACTGAAATTATGTTGTATTTCAAATGATTCCAACAAAAAAAGGGACAAAGAAAGGTTGCAACCTTTCTTTATACAACCAACAAGTCGAACTTAGCTTCGTACTTTTCATGATTAAAACCAATAAGGAGCCAATTTATAATTCTATTGCTAAAATCCCTAAAGCATAATGCTGATATGAATTTTAATCGATAATCTTATTGAACAACCTCAAAAATGTCTAATCTTTTTTATAGACCAACTAAAGAGTTCTGCTCCAATATTATGAATTTTAATTGGTAATCTTATTGAACAGCCTTAAGATTGGTAATCTTATTGAACAGCCTTAAGATTTAAGAATGAATAATCTCTTTGATATAAATATGAATTTTAATTGGTAATCTTATTGAACAACCTTAAGATTTAAGAATGACTGAATGACTAATCTCTTTGATAGACCCGCGAAGGAGTTCTGCTCTAATATTATGCTTCTCCAACAAACTTTAACAATAAGGTTTAACACCAACAAATGAGTCTTTTTTGATTATTTTACCAAGGTTTAACACTAAAGCTTCAAAAATTAGAATAGTGAATTCACAACAATAAAGTAAATGAATACATATATCTATAACATCACAAACATTTATAAAGTCCAAAAATGCACACCACAAAAGACAGACATGTCAATAGGAATGACATACATCTATCTATAACATCACAAACATTTATAAAGTTCTTACAGATAGCTTAGAACAAAGGACAGATAAGGAAATATGAACGACAGACAAATGAATACTATGTTTAGAACGAAACAAGAATATGCTTACATACGTACATGATCCATTTTAATGACATAAATATGGCCCATGGTTGATGCTTGCTAATATTTTTAAGCCTCGGAGTATTCCTGAATTTGATTAGGAGGGTGGACCCCAATATTTTTATGAGATCATAAACATTCGTCTTAAATTGAAACCTTAGAATCATAATGTTTCAAAATCTTAGTATGTTCTTCCTATAATTTTAGTCTCTAATGAAACCTTTATTACAACGGTTTTTACTCAAAATAATGTTTCAAAGTATTATAACAAGTAAACCCGAGGGGCACGTGTATACATTAGGAACAAAATGGGGGAAACAACTCAAACCATGTATTTGTAACATCACAGACAATTATAACGTCCTTAATTACAGACAACTCAAAACAATTGACAGACAACTTAAAACAAATGACAAACAATTCAAAACAAATGACAAACAAGAAAATATGAAAGACATACATCTATTTAAAACATCACAGACATTTATGAACTCCTTACAGACAATTCAAAACGTGTGACAGACATCTCACAACACATAAACAACATGTCAGACAACTCTTAAATCAGAGAAACAAAATTAGGTCTTGCTTAATTAAATTAAATCAATTATGCTAAGGTGAGTACTACAATGAAAAAATTACCTTTCAGCAAGATCTGTCAAACTACTTCGCACCATAGCTTCAAACTGATTTCCACGTAGCAGCGAGGGGTGGGTTGCGGTCGTTCGTTCTCTGCGCCACACAGGGGTTCAGCATTGGACCAGAGTAAGTCGTTCGTTCTTGGAGCAAACTGATTTCAAAATCAGCGCCACACAGGGGTTCAGCTCTGTCCGGCAAAGGTCAGTTCAGTTCGGCGAAGGTCGGTTCTGTCCCCTTCATCTTTTGTCCTTTGCGTTAGTACTGGCCGAACAGGAGTGGGGCGGAAGATTCTGATTTCCGAAGCCTGGAAGTGGAGGGGTGTGTCCGGGAGTGGGGAGGGAGATTTGGATGGGTGAAAGACAAAAGAAAGATGGGGTAAATTTTTGGATTGGGAAGGAAGTAAGATAAAAAAAAGGAGAGCCTTTTGTATAGGGTGCTAAAGGTGTAAACAATTTGTGTACACCTAGCAAAATTCTTATGTTGAATAACAATTGTTCACCCGAAATAGAAATTGGGCCTAAAACTTTCGGTGGGTGATTCCATGGTATCTTTGAAATGTTTTATATATAGATATAGATAGATATAGATATAGATTATAAAAAAAATAAGGAGGCTAGTAGGTCGAAAGTATATGACTCAAATGAAAATGATATTAGGAGATTCCGAGATTAGCTAGAGGAATTAGAGTTTGTAACTAAGAAGGCCTTTTATGAGTTATGACATGACAAAAATCAATTTCTTTTTTATGTCTGATTTTTCGAGTTTTTTTCTGAAATAATGCTAATTAAATAAATAATTCCCAAAACATTGTCGGATTAAAAATAATCCCCAGAATACTGATGAGATTAATCACGGTTAAAAAAAGCCGCCACTCGAAGTGACGGCTCTTCTCTTACTATAGAAAAGCCACCACTCCAAGTGGCGGCTCTTGTCTTTAGTAATTACACCACCAGTTTATTCAGCGTGAAAAAAACACAAAAACCTGCTCATTACACTACAGTCAACTAAAAAACATCAAACTGCTCTTCATATTGAATATAGGTTGCTAAAAAACAAAACATAGTCGAGACACAACGAATTAATGGAACTACATTTGATCAAGATACTACAAATATCACATAAAGTTGATAATAAATCCAATGTTTCAGAAATCGATCCGCTAGTTCATGTTTAACACCATAATGTCAAGTACAGGTTTCATAACTCAACATGATCGTCATCATAAAGCTCATGTGGTTGTGCTTGTGGCTGAAGTCGGGGGCGTCTGCGCTGATTACGAGGCTGAAGAACCATTCTATCACGTCGTCGTGCTTGGGAAAACCCTGCTGTGGATGTAGATGTCATGGAATACTAAGAGTTATTCATCGTTGTGTTACTTGGTGCATATATTTAGGGTTGCTTTTAAAAAAAAAATTGAACTCTATGTCAATTGGGCTTAGAGACCTTCAAGTTTTTTAAAAATTGATGCACCGTCATTGTTTAAACTTGACGGGCAAAACTGTCATGACCTCTTATATTGACGGTAAATACGGGTCAAAATTAATAGGTTTTTATTAAAAAAAAAGTTAGTGTTCACTGATTATCAACGTGCTTTATCTTGGAGTATCGAGAATTACAAATCACAAATCTTTGGAAAATGTTTGGAAATATTAATTCATTGTGAAGATTGCTAACAAATCAGTGATGATGTTCCTTTTGGACTTTTTTCCGTCCCAGACCAAACAAGACCTGAACAGACTAGACCAAATCAGACTTGAATAAACCAAACCAAACAAGACTTAAATAGACCATATCTGACTAGACCAGTTCAAACCAGATTTACACACACTAGACCAGCTCAGGCAAGATTTATACAGATCATACCGGATTAGATCAGTCCAAATGACAACATCCTCAAACTACCAATGTTGTTCACACAAAAAAATGTTTCAAAAAGTATAATATGCGGCAAGCTTATTGTAATATTTATTTATTTTTATTACAAAACATAGTTCGAACAAGATCGGGTTCTACTTTATTTTCCTTAATTATAACCTTTTACGTAGTACTCCCTCCGTCCCCCTAACTTTGTCACGTTTTACCTTTTTCGTCTATCCCATTAAGTTTGTCCCATATCATATTAGGTAATATTTGAGTGGTTAGAGTTCATTCCTACTTTATTTACACTTTATCAATTCAATATCAACCACACAATTTCATTTTTTCTTAAAAACAACACCACACCCCTTTGTCCCAAACTTGGGGGGACGGAGGTAGTACTTTATAGTATATCTCTACTCTTTTGATACATTTTACTAATTTTTTAAATATATACGTATATATATCTTTCCATCATTTTCAATGAGGCCAAAGACTCACTATTTTTTGGCTTGAGAATATGATGGAATAAAGCAAAATGGCTTAGGAAACTGTCTGTGCTTCTTTGTTATGAAGTAACAATTAGCCTATGCAATTTTCGACGCGTTTTTCACTATGGGTCATTCGAAAACAGTCTCTCTGTGCTTTAGTACAGGGGTAAGACTGCGTACATCCGACCACCCTTACTCCATCGTAGGTGGGAGCCTTTGCGGCACTGGGGTGATGATGATGATGATACGTGTATATATATATATATATATATATTATATATAAATTAGTTTTTATTTTATATTAACTAATAATGTTAACAAATCGTGTTATATTTATTACTTAAGTTATGTCGCATGCATCACACGGGTGAGAATCTAGTGAAGAGCAGACGAGGAAGAAAGTGACGGTCATTTGCGAAGTACCTTGTCGTCTGATGGCATCACTGCTGATCTCCCGAAAAGGAGGTTACATGTTTGAGTCTCATCCTAATCAAAGATGTTGACATTGAAAATAGCAAAAACTATAGTACGTTTAGAAGAATATTACGGAGTAAAAAAACGGAAAAAATGACCCCAATATTATTCCTAGAGTTTGCATTTACAAAAATATGACCAAATCTGACATTCACAAAATTGTGCTCAGTCTCTATCGCCCGCACACCGCATCGCTACCTTAGCTTCAGCATCATCTTCATCGCACATACGCTGATACGCATCCCCATAGCCGCCAGTCACCTCTGCGGTGCCCCTCCCGCCAAACGTCTCTGGATCGTCGTTCTCTTGTGGTCGTTTCTACGTCGGCACCTCCTCCGGTCGTCTCTGCATCGCCGCCACCTCCGGTCGTCTCTGCATCGCCTCCTCCGGTTGTCTCTACGTCACCATCGCTGCTTTATGTTCTCACAGTGGCTTTGCATCATCATCGACACCTTAACTTCTGCGATTGGATCCGACTATGTCGATGTGCGATGTGCGAATCTGACTATGGTGATGTGCGAATCTCACTATGGCGATGTGCGACGACTGTGATCAGGGTTTGCCGAGGACGAAGACAACTATGCTGCCCCTCTTTGACTCTGTCTCTGCTCGCCTATCATCATCATCTTCTTTGTTTATTTTGTACCACATTTGGATCTCCCAGATCTGGCCTCTTCTTCGTGCAGCCATGCAGTGATGAATTGACGGGGTGGGGGTGGTGAGGGTGGGGTAGTGGAAGGGGCTAAGGTTGGGAGAGAACTGAATCTGATTGTAGCTGGTGGTGGCTGGGGAGAGATCTGAATCTGGTTGTGGCTGGTGGTTACTCGATGAAGCGGTGGTCATCAAACGGCTTGGGGGGGGGGGGTGTCACTGTGATGAGGTGGGTGGACTGTGGCTGATCTGATAGGCAATGGTGGGGCTGCAACGACAATCACGGGATGAGGCAGCGGCAGTCGATGGGGTGGGGGCAGTCACTGGACGGGGTCACTGATTGGTGGGCGGATGGTCGCTTTGGCCGGGAGGCGGCAAAAGTCTCTACGGGGCGGAGTCACTGTGGCGGTGCAGTCATTGACTAGGCGGAGTCACTGTGGCGGCGCAGTCACTGGCGGGGCGTAGTCACTGTGGCGGCGAAGTCACTGTAGCGGCGTAGTCACTATGGCGGCGGAGTTACTTTGGCCAGAGTCACTGTGGCTGCGGGGCATTCACTGTGGCGGCGGAGCAGTCATTGTGGTCGGTGGGACAGTCACTGTGGTCAGTGGGGTCACTTTGGCCGGAGTCACTTTACCCGACGTCACTTTACACTGCAAGGTTAATTGTGATGTTGGTCAAATTTTTGGAATTTTAAAAAACAGATCACTTTTTTTATCTTTTATCCTACTTTTAGTAATATATATATTGGAATAAAAAGGCCAAAAAAACGACCGTCGTTTCGAATAAAAAAAATGACGGCCACGTCAGTCTTCGCCTCCCATTGGATAACGGTTGCCAGGTCAGCTTCGGCCCAAGAACAATCCCCACCCCTGCTCTTCCCTTCTCTAGATTTCAATTTTTCTCTCATCCCATTTCGCTGCAAATTCAATATTATCCTACGCGTTTCGAATTACCATTTCTATATATACCCTTGTTCCTCGAATACTTTATATTGTCAATTTTGCTCCCGGTATGATGGCTCCTAGGGGGACTCGATCGGTGAGCTTCGCGGCTATCTGCCTCGTTCTGATCGCGGTTCCTTTTCCGTCATCGGAAGGATTGATCTCTGCTCATAGTGCTAACCGTCCTTATCCCAAAGTCATACATGTAAGCTTTTCAGTTTTCCACTTCCCATTCTTTATCTTCTTCTCGTTATGGTTTTGACATCTTGCATCTACAAGGTATAAGCTTTTGTTATGTTTCTCCTAAATGTGAAATTTTCTTCGGGTTGGTATACTTGCTTTTGGAATCTGTAATGAAGCGCCCGGGCATAGCTCAACTTGTAATTGACTTCAACCTTCCAGATGGTTGGTTGTCCTCAGAATTTAAGAGAACTTGCAACTTAGGGTACCTCTTTTTTTCGTTTTTCTTTTTTCTTTTGTAAAAAGAATTTGTAATTACGGATGATGTTCAGTTGCTTGTATGAATAAAATTGATTATATGATGATTCGCATTAAATAAAATTAAACTGGAGTGGGAGATCACATGACTTCTTTTTGTGTATCAAATAGGATTTGAAGGAAGCAATTGTGAAGGGGTTAGGATTCAAGGAGGAGGATTTCGAGATATCTGGTTTTGACTGGAGAGACGTTTTGGTTGGAAGATCGGTGGCTTATGAGTTTGATGTTGAGATTGATGATAAAGTTCTTCCCTTGAAGCTTCTGGAGGATGTGAATAGATGGGAATATGTGGATTTGCCCATTTTCCGGGTACAGAATCCGGCAGAGGAAAACGGGCTGGTTGAGAAGAACAAGTTAGAGAAGGAGACGCCTGTGTTAGCTCCTTTCACTCTTGCAGGCCCAATGGAACTCTGGGTCCAGGATGCTAAGAACATGAGGCTTTCGCTGCCTGTAAGTTGAAAAAATCTTTGGTCGGTCCTATTCAATGCCATACTTCGTCTCTTGTTTTATATCTAATGTTCAGATACAGGCAGTTTGGTAGACCGTAATGACATTTAATGTAATGTGACCGGATACTCCATAGTTTTAGTGTTTAAAAAGCATTTATATTACACTTGAATTTTGTAATGGAACATGACTATAACAACTATCTCAACTCTTGTCGCCTTTTCATGATATATTTCATGCAAATGGAAATAACCTTTGACAATTACGATTGTAAATTTCACCTCATGATTCCTTCATAAGCTGATTCTCTAGTTGTTCCTGTTTTCCTCTTGTTTCATAGCTAACCTTAATGCGTTTTTTAAAACACAGAAAAAGGTAGAGGACATTTTTTTAAACGCTGATGAGAATGGTTTTATTTACCATTGGACAATACAGAAAAAGAAATCATTAAATCATTTCAAAATTCTTTTCATTTATTTTATCTTTGTAAAATAGTAATATATAAATAAAACAAGTTTGGAAGTATATATTAAATTTACTTATTGAGCTTCAACCAATTTTTTATTATTTACCCTCACATTTTCTTTTCTGGGAAATTTTCTATGTATATTTCTCCATAGTATTCTCCTATTTCGAAATGCACCCAAATAGTTCATTTTCATCCTTTCAAGTGGCTCCCACCTAGGTATGTTTAGATTGTGGTCTGAATGATCTATCTATCTTGGTTGTTTATTCTACAGTTACAAGGTATCTTGATGACCTGTTACTTGCCTTGCTGATTGGGTTTTTGGGTTCTGAAAAATTTATGCAGCATGATGTGGATGCTGGTACGGTGAAGAAAGTTGTGTTAGCAGATGGTGCTATGGTCACCGTTAAGGGTGCCAGATCTGTTAGTCTCCGCCACCCAGTCATGCTTCCGCTTCCATTTAACAGATCCCATAACGGCTTTGCTTCCGGTCTGTTAACTCTGGCAGATCACCTGCGCCGAGTCATTAGCATGAAAGGTGGTCCGATACTATCTCTTCGCATTGTGGGGCCAACTTCTCTCACGTCACCTACTCCATCATCCTCTTCATCAAACAGGCTTAAACTTAAGCGTCTTGCACCCGGCCTGGTGGAGCTATCATCTGTGCCTAAAATCAAAGCGATCTCCGCCACAGTTGATCTCCAGGGAGAGGCCACAACTGCCCTCCTAACACCCACCCGATTCACTACCATGTGGCCATTGGTCTCCATCAATGGCTCCAACCCTCACTTGATTGGTTTTGAGTCATTGCTTTCTTCTGTGCTGGGTCCCAAGGCAAATGCAAAGGGTTCTTTTAAGTTGCTAAAGGCAGACATATCGGCTCAGACGTTCGTGAAGATGGGTTTCGCGTTGGAGAAGAAGTTGAAGGTGGGGGATGCGTTTGGTTTAGAGAGTTTCCCGAAGTGGATGACGAGGCCGGAGACAGTGAGGATGCATTTTGAAGTGTTGGCTAAGGTGGACGGAGACAAGGTCGTGCCGGAGAGAGTGGTACAGGTTGAGCCTGTAAGTCTTGATAACACTGTTGCACCAAATATGCTTTCAGGCAATGTGACCATGTCTACCACCCCCATTGTCCATCCACCACAAATCCCATTCACATTATGAATAATGAATAAATACCTGGCTCAGTTTAAGCTGAAATTCCACTACACCCATTGGGTGTCACACACGCCGTTTACTGTTACGATTGTATAGATAGATAAAATCTTGTTTTTTTGCATGCCCTCATTCACAATCTCGCACAAACTTACGGTTTATCTCCATCATATATACAACAGACCTTTGTAATGTGTATATTATTCTAAATCTGACAGATAAACTTGTTTTTACTTAATGATGACCCATTTTGTTTAACGCAAATGGTGGCAAAGTTGTAAAATGAGTTAATGCTTACTCTTTTTTTTTTTTTTTTTTTTTTTTTTTTTTTTTTTTTTTGTTCTTTTTTAGTTGCAACGTTTCAATTTTCAATTTTTATGTTTACCAACGCACTTTTTGATCATTAATATATTTAAAGTTGGAGAAACTTAACAATTTTTTTTCAAAATTTTAATATAAATAATACATTGATAAATAAAATGTGGTCAAGGTAGAACATGTAAAAAGGGTAAAATTCATCAATACAACAACATCCAAGTCTTAATCTCAAACGATATTGGGGTCGGCTAACATAAATCGATACATGATATCACCAAAAGGAAAAGAGAGAAAATAAAGCTAAAAAAAGATAAGCTAATATAAAAGAGATGAATATACATGTAAATGATAAAATAAAAAGGATAAAAATAATATTTATATATAAGGATACAACAACGACAACAACATCCAAGCCTTAGTCCCAAACGATGTTGGGGTCGGCTAACATGAATCGATACATGATATCACCAAAAGGAAAAGAAAGAAAATAAAGATAAAAAAGATAAGCTATTATAAAAAAAGATAATATAAAAGAGATGAATATACATATAAAAGATAAAATAAAAAGGATAAAGTAATATTTATATATAAGGATAAAAATATAAAAGAAAAAGAAAAAAAAGAAGAAAAAAAAAGAGGGGAAAAGATGATACAAGATCACTCCTCCACACGAATACCCGCCCTCCATTTTGCTCTCTCCAAAGCCATACCCTCATCCAATCCAAGAAGAAGCATATCACTTCTGACTCCCTTAACCCACGTCTGTTTGGGCCTTCCTCTCCCCCTCTTCCCTGCCTCTTCTCCACACATCTCAACTCGTCTGACAGGTGCATCACTCGGTCTTCTATGCACATGACCAAACCACAGTAGGCGCGACTCCCACATCTTATCTTCAATAGGTGCTACTCCCACCCTTTGTCTGATTGTCTCATTCCTCACGCGGTCCTTTCTAGTATGCCCACACATCCAACGCAGCATGCGCATCTCTGTCACACTCATCTTTTGAATGTGACATTGTTTCACCGCCCAACACTCCGTGCCATATAGTAATGCAGGCCTAATTGTTGTCCTATAAAATTTACCCTTCAGTCTAGTCGGCATACCTCGATCACATAGAAATCCTGACGCACTCTTCCACTTCATCCACCTTGTTCTGATTCTATGGGATACATCTCCATCTAACTCACCGTCCTTCTGAATTATGGAGCCCAAGTAACGGAACATATCGTTGACCGGTATCTCCTTACCATCTAAAGTAATTCCGCTATTACCACTGCTTCTACCTCCACCAAACTTGCACTCCATGCCTCTGTCTTGCTCCTACTTAGTCTGAAACCCTTGTTCTCCAATGTTTGTCGCCATACTTCCAACTTTGCTTTAACCCCTGATTGCGTCTCATCAATCAATACAATATCGTCGGCAAACATCATGCACCACGGTATAGCATCTTGAATTGACTTTGTAAGTTCATCCATGACTATGGCAAATAAAAAAGGGCTCAGAGCCGATCCTTGGTGCACTTCGATAGTAATAGGGAACTCTGCAGTCCTCCCTACACTAGTACGGACACTTGTAGTATAATCCTCATACATATCCATGATGATGCTGATATACTTGCGTGAAATGCCTTTTCTAGTTAAGGCCCACCAAAGAACTTCTCGAGGTACCCTATCATATGCCTTTTCTAAGTCAATGAACACTAAATGCAAATCCTTGTGAGCGTCTCTATACTTCTCCATAAGTTGCCAAAGAAGGTGAATGGCCTCAGTTGTTGAGCGACCAGGCATAAAACCGAATTGATTCTCTGAAATCTTCACCGTTCTTCGAAGTCTTTGCTCAATCACTCGCTCCCAAAGTTTCATGGTATGACTCATAAGCTTAATCCCTCGATAGTTGGCACATTCTTTTACATCACCTTTATTCTTAAATAAGGGAATAAGAGTACTCTTTCTCCAACTCGTTGGCATCTTGTTGTTTCTCCAAATCTTGTTGAAGAAATTTGTTAACCGCTCGATGCCTTGACAAGTAAGATTAATTAGCATGGCCATGCTCAAATGAAGTATCATTTGTTCAAGGTTAATCTTACTTGGTAATCAAGAAATATTAATTGAGAATAACAAGGATGACATGACCTAACCTTGTCTCAATTAAGATATCATTTGACAAAAGATAATTGCTATCACAAATTAATCATTAAAAAGTTATGTCAGATTTAATTGACATTTATATATTTTAGATAGTCATAATGTCTTGCTAGAGGCCGCTTATGATTTGTGAGACTCAAATTAATTTTCTAGCCCACTGCTAACGATATATAAACCTACAAGGTCACACACCTAAGTGATTTGGATCATTAATGTTGTTAATAACATTAAAATAGCCTGATTAGCCTATTTGAAATAGGTTTTCAAATGGTATTGGGCTAGGGCCTCCATGAGAGTTTTATTAGCTATAAAACTCCTTTCCTCCTCTTATAAATAGGGCTAAGGAGACCCACGAATTTAAGAGTTAAAATTCACATAAAGCCTAGAGAGAGAGAAAGAAGAGATCGCTAGCACGTGACATCCTTGCTTAAGATTGCTATGTAAGTCGCTCTTATGTCTTGTAATTTCGTTTATAGTAATAACCTCAGATCCGATTGTGTACTTTTGGGCAGTTTATTTTTTGTTTATTCCGCTGCGTTTTTCTGGCCAAAACCTAACAGAACAATCATTCGTCTGGGTCACTTCGCGATCCGGTTCTTGTAACATAGTACTGTCTCCGTTCTTTTTTAGTTGCAACATTGATGAATGAGACAATCAGACAAAGGGTGGGAGTAGCACCGCACCTATTGAAGATAAGATGCGGGAGTCGCTTAGGTGGTTTGGTCATGTGCATAGAAGATCAAGTGATGCACCTGTTAGACGAGTTGAGATGGGTGGAGAAGAGGCGGGGAAGAGAGGGAGAGGAAGACCCAAACAAACATGGGTTAGGGGAATCAGAAGTGATATGCTTCTTCTTGGATTGGATTAGGATATGACTTCGGAGAGAGCAAAGTGGAGGGCGGGTATTCGTGTGAAGGAGTAATCCTGTATAATCTTTTCCCTTCCTTTGGACTCTAAGGAAGAAGAACAAGATATCTATAGACTTCCTCGTCTTCGTGATCGTAGGACTCAAGATATCGGAAAAGTTAAGTGTGTGATAATAGATATCTTTCTCTCGCTATACGAGAGTGACAAAAACTATCTAGATAATTCGCATACCACTACGTGGTTCATAATATGTACAATCACCACTTTTATAATTACACATTTAAAGATAACGTTTAATGATGTTAATACATATTAATTCACATGTAAGTAACCATGATTATCTCAAGTATAAAAATATAACACCTCATCATTATTGAGGACAACATTGATGACAGATAACCTAGTAGTGTCCTCAAGTTGGGTCTATTCAATGAACTTGTTCACTAACAAGCATCTATGTTATTAACTTGATATCTCTATACCCATGACTAGTGGGTCATGGGTTAATCCAAATACTGGTCTATTAATTATTAATGGCCCAAATTAATAATATTAGACCAGTGACAATTAGAATATTAAGCTTATTTTAAAGTGTAGCATTCCACGATTAAGTCACATACTTAATTAGCTACTAAACATAATATTCAGGGACTAAATATTACTCCGTAATAAAGAAAACTCAGAATAATTTTTAACATAAAATGAGATCCATTTGCATCTACACTGCCATCTTTATTTAATTTCTTTTTGTAGATCCATTTGCACCCAATGGTTCTACAACCATCAGATAGATCAACCAAGTCCCAGACTTGATTGTCGGTCATGGATCTTGTTGAGGTTTATTCCTTCAACCCTTGGACCCAACACGTAAGCCCAAAGATTTCGAGTGGAGTGAGTGTGTGGATATCTTGCCCAACAACTTTCAGATGGATCAGGAAACAAGAGAAATAGCAGGCAATGTAAGTAGGTATTATTAACTTCGTAATAACTCCCCTAAGTACAATCTACTTGCTAAAGAGGCACGTCGGCCGTTCGTCTTACAAGGCACTTAGAAATGCTGCAAGTAAGAATGCTGAAGCTAGTATGCTAAGAATAGAAAGTTGCCAACCCTTTACAATGAAATAAATGCTACTATTTATACCCGCCAATGGGCAGTTAGTCCTGATGATGTGGAGGATTGTTAGTGGCTGTGGCCCAACCACCAAATCTCCAGCATTAAATGCGCTTCCCGCCAGAATCTGGGTTCCCCGCCTAATTGATGACCACGATCGTCTGGTAGAACCGGGGGCCGTTCGTCTGCGGCCCTTCCTGAGAACGTAACAATCTTTTGGGCCTGGGCCATCTACGGAGACGGGCCTCGGCTGACGACGTTCGTCACTGATGTGCTAACCGACCCTCGGCCGGGACCTTGTGCTGTTATCCCGGAGATAGACATTCGTCCTCATTCCTTCAGGTCAGGGCCATCCGTGGGCTGGGCGACGTACGTCGGTTTGGGGGTAATTGGGCCGGACCCCTGCTCGGGGCCATTTACCCAACACAAGTCCCCCACTTCTGATGTTCCAAGCGTGCGTGGGACATAAGGAAGTATGCTGTGCCTCCTGGAGGATGCCCGTCTTCCGTACTTGCCTACGGGGAACTGGACGTACCTGATCGAAGGGCACCCCGAGTTGGGCGACCGCGGGTGAATCGAGGTGGCGGCTGGCGGCGAAACGGTGCGACTCCCGATGGGAAGTCATCATTACGCGTATCGCTTCCCCAGGTTGGATTCCCGCCAGGGTACGCTCCTCGCCACGTGTCGCTTCTTCATTCGTCCCCCCGGGGGTGCCTCCACTATAAATACCAGAAATCCCCTGATGTCTAGGGTTTCCGATTTCTGGCTTTTGCTTTCGAGTTCTCTTGCCGCTCTTCGGGTTTTTCATCACAGCTTCCGAAGTCCATCTTCAAGTTTTTTAAAGGTAATTATTCCTCTTCATCCTTGCCCTTTCTTTTAGTGATGACTTCGATGGAGATCTCTTCAAGTTCGAGTTCTGGTTCTTCGGGCTCCGGCTCTGATTCTTCCTCCAATTCTGGCTCCCGTTCCTCCGGGAAAACCAGTATTTCCGGCAACCCAGGTTCGGCGTCCACCGTAGGGACCATCCATGTCGACGGTGAGCAAGGCGCCGACATTTCCGAAGGTGCCATTGAGGCAGTGCCTCTGAATGAACGTGCGGCCGGGTATGATTCCGCAGATGAGGCTCAATCTGGCTCTGATCTGGAGGTGCACGATTTAGGTATCCCCATGGACGTGCAGAGGCACATCTGCAAGATTAAGAGTGTTTTAGAGCAAGATTAAGAGTGTTTTAGACAATCCCTCTCTAGCGTCGCCATGAACAAGATTGCTTCCTTCTTCCCCCATCCGTTCGTCTTTAGCCATAGCGGGGCTGAACATGCCATGCGGCGACGGGCGGGGATGATCATCCTGCATGTGGACTCCGTAGAGGCCGGTCTGCGGTTTCCCCTCCACCCTTTTTACGTGGAGTTCTTCAACTGCTACCAGGCGGTCCCGGCGCAGTTCATGCCCAACTCTTATAGGTTTATCTCCGCATTCCTCGTGCGCTGCTCGTCCGCGGAAGCCGATATATCCCTGGATCTGTTTCACTACTTTTACCGGGTCACCCCGCAGAATTCCGACGGTTATCTGAGTGTGGCCGCTCGTCCGAAGAGGAAGCTGTTCGAGCACTATCCTTCCTCCATCCATGATTGGAAAAATAGGCTCTTCTTCCTTAGATATGATGGTCCTCCCCTCCCAATCCACTGGAACGGTTACCCCCCGAAGATTGAGTCGCCGGTGCTGACGGACGAGCTGGAGGCGGAAGTTAACAAAGTCCTGGAAGGCGGCATTCGCCCCATAGGAGAATACCTGACCCCCGAGGCACTCTCTGAAGCAGGCATAGGTACCGCCCGTGTTCCTGGATTCCTTCCCCCCTTGGACGCTCGTCTCGGGGCACGGGCGGTGTGATACTCCGAAAATTTCAAATTAAATAAATAATTATCTTATCAAATAAAATGTTATAAAAGTGACATTTTAATAGGTGTTAGGTTGACCAGATAAGAGGTTGACTTAAATAACAAAAGTGGAGTTTTGTAAAAACTGATAAGTATTCATCTGACAGAAATTATTAAAGTGACATTTTAACAATTTTAATGGATTAATAATAGGTGTACAAATATACACTAAATTACATAGGTAGTACAAAAGTAACAATGTTAAAATAATTGACTTTTCAAATCTAAATACATACATACCTATCTATACACAATAACAATATCATATATACTCCATACATATCAATATGCTATTAGTATAATATAAAATACAATGTATCTGTTCACAGAGACATAACCACATCAATAACAATAATATATACTCCCTCTGTTCTAATTTGTTTTGCAAAGTCAACAATTTTTGGTCAACCAATAATAAAAGTCAACCCTCCGTATGGATAATTGATACAATTTTTAATAACTAAAGTTTATCTATTCAAAAACTACATTAAAATCTCTTCAAAGTTGTAAACTCCAAATTAGAATATAATTAAAAATTGACACCCTAATTAAGTGAACAAAACGAGACTGTTTGATTGAGAAAAGTCAAATTTGCAACTCTTTTTGGGACGGATGTAGTATATGCAACTTGCAGACTGAGCCATGTACATTCATGGGGTCCAAATTAAAGAAAGATGAGATATATAACAACTCAGACCTTCGGCTGGGGTAGATATACCCTACTAATAAATACCAATAAAGTATACATAAATGATGGACTTGAATTTCAATAATATACTTGGCTCCTGCAAGAGAAAACAAACATGAAATAATTAACAATAATGCATGAAGCCAAAAATAATATACACATGCGTCCCATGCCATGTGTATGATTGCATGAAGCCAAAAATAAACAAAGCCAGAACATTCGTATGTATCTCGGTACCTGGTATAATATACTAATGGTATAATAAACAAAGCACAAAGGGAAACCTTTTATAATATACTTGGTATTTACATACTCTCTATATATTAATGTACACTTACCCCATCGTTTGACGAAACCCAAAGAGGAGGCCGGCCAAACTCTAGTCACCTACTCCATATATAGATAAGAGAGAAAAAAAAAAATGAGAAACGTAGGGAGGGAGAGAAAAGAGAGAAGAAAGGAGCGAGAGAGAGACGGTTAGTTCGCCGCCTGGGCAGAGGGAAATCGCCGGAGTTGTGGCCTAACTAGTTCTCACGCCGGAAGAAGGAGGCCGCCGGTGAACAATTGCATCGGGAGGTGAGGCCGACAGAAGTGTAACTGCCAGGCCAGACCACCGGTCCTTCATGCCGTCTCATGATGGCTTGTCGTTGCCGTTTCCGTCGGAGGAAGAGTAAACGTACTCTGCGTTGCCGGCCGGACTTCATTAACGAGGAAGACGACCGAGTACGTAAGTCCTCTGCGTCTTTTTACTTCCTTGGTACACCGGACATTAGATATACTTTGGACATTTTGATAATATAATCCTTAATAAACAGAGTAGTTGGGCTAAGATAACAATAATAATAATAATAATAATAATAATAATAATAATAATAATAATAATAATAATAATAATAATAATAATAATAATAATAATAATAATAATAGTAATAATAATAATAATAATAATAATAATAATAATAATAATAATAATGGGTTAGGAGGAACTGGATAAAAATGCATAAATAAAATAACATACTGATTATTGAACTTTAATAGTTAAAAGGTCGTTGCGGTGAAGATCGAAATAACAACTTGAATAGGAGTGACACGAAACGAGGTAAGTGTTTCCGTCAATCAAAACTACTATTCCTCTAGTTAATAGTTTCAAAAACTTGTACGTGAACTATATTCCAAGTTTTGAGATTTGATATTATTTGAAAATATGTGGAGTATTTGGACTTGCAAAAATTACTATTTTACTAGCGTTACTAGATTTGCCACTTTTTGATGAAGTTTTGAAACTTTGAGAAAATATATGGATATGAGAAATATGGCTATCTTGTGTACAAAATCGATTTATTGATCTTGAGAAAGTGTGATCTCATTTGAATACTACGTTCTTTTGAGAAAACTACAATTTGAGATCGGATATTGTGACTACGTTTGGAAATACAACAAGTCCTTACTTTGACAAAGATTAATTTTTGAACAACTAGTGATCCTAAAGATCTAATTATATGATTACTATTTCAAAAGCTTTGATATGAAATTATATGTACTGTATTTGAGACTAGTAATATACATACAAGAGTTTATATATGTATTTTTTTTTATTAATATGTCCATCTCATACACAATTTTGGAAAATTTCGATATGTATATAAATATATTTTAAATCACTACTACATTTAAATGTATAATTATAACTAGTATTGAATCTATAAGATTATACTACGTAGATGATTTGAGAGGTCTTGGTACATATATAAAACTTTTTAGCTAATTGATTTTCAAGATATGATTTCAAATACCTAATTTTTGTAAAATGTATATATAATTTACCACTTCGATAATTGAAGGAATTTCAATAAAGCTATCTTTTTTAAATTATTATTTTAAATATATGATGAGCGTACAAATCCATGTTTACCAAAATTTACTATTTTACCTCATTAATAATTTTGAGATGTTTTAATAAAAATATTTATTTATAAAATTCCATACTTGAATAATATTACGAGCATTTAACTATCAAAATTATTATTGAGCTACATATTATTTTAAGAGATTTTGGTACAATATATAAAATAAACATCTTTCTATATGAGTATAACTAGTACTTATTTTTATAATAATGTAGCTTTCGAGGCCAATAAAAAAAAATGATTTTACCGCATGCTTATATGTATGCAATATTTGAACTATGGGAAGTATTTATGACTTGGAAATTTATGATGGACATGGATGGAATATTTTGAATATATGAGTATTGGTGGATTATTTTCTATGGATGATTAAATGTATATTTTTTTAAGAATATTGGTGGATTGATATTTATTACAAAGATTATCTTTGGAAGTGTGACAAGAATGATTTTGGGGAAAACCTAAAGTTTTCATAATATATTTTTACGTCTCGAGAGAAACACGAGGCGTGGGTGGTTAGGGCTACTACTACTTTTGGTGAAATTTATTTGGGTCGGTAACCAATCCGGCAATGACACGCTCCGGTAGACATCCCGGGCTTTTATTTGAGGATCAAAGATCCTTTGGTGGTCGTAGTAGTAGTTACCTAATTTACCCTTGGACAATGTCCCTTGAGAGTAGGTGGTAGAAAACATCCTGCCTACTTGGATTTCTTACTACTCGGAGAGCTTGGAATCTCTTTTAGAGGGTGTGCACACTTAAGGTAGAAATTCAGCTTCCAATTGGTGGTCGGTGGGAGCCGGAATTCCGGGATGAGTCGTAGACAACAACGACTCATTGGACTCGAGGAACCTTGAGTTTCGCCCACTCTTAAAAGAAACATAAAGTATTACTTCTGGTGGAATTGAGAATGGAAATATCTATTGGAGGAATTTTTTTGAGACCTTGGATCATTCTGGATATATGCGAGGATTAAATATTTTTGGGGCATTAAATCTTTTTGTTACCATTGAGACTATTGTGGAGAATTATTCCTTATAATACTTATAAGAGTTGTTGAAGAAATCATACTATTTGGATTATGATACTTACCACCAAATATTACAAACACTTTTGGATATGGATTTTTGAAGGATTTTGGTAAAGCTAGCAATCCATTTGGATTGAATTTATTTACGGATATGAGATGTGTGTTTGGATTTCAAAAGCTATTTTGGAGATTAAGTATTTTAGGAAGTAATATCTTACTCCTACTATACGAACTATTCAATGTTTATAAACATTATTTTTAGCTATGAACGATATTCGAAAATTATTACCTCGTATTTAGTTGTTGGAAAGTATATAGAATTGAGAAAGTATTTTGAGGACTATGAGATATTAAGACTTTATTTTACTTGCATATGTGTGATATGCTATGAGATGGAATATTTTTACAAACCTCAGTTTAGTGTGTGTATTTATTTATTTATGAGATCAAATATTTTACTTGCATTTGAGGAATTGTAAAGCATTTTGAGAAGGTTTCGACATGCCTAAAAAGAGTTTTAACATGTGTTTTGACAAAATTATATATGTATCAAACATGATTATTTTACAGGGTTGAGTAGGCCCTTACTTAGCATTTCAAGCTAATTTTTGTTTCTTTGTGTTTTCTTTCTGTACATGATTTTGTACAGGTGGAGACTTGGTGATGATTTCGAGAGCTTCCGCTAGAACACGTAGATTAAAGTGATCGAGTAATTCACATTTGGTTTAATTATAATACTCATAGTTACACAAATTAAATACGAGAAATTTGTTTTATTCACATTTATGAAGTTGTATTGGTGGTGGTTAGCCTGTGCACTCGGTTATGTGAGAACCGAGTGTGGCGGTAACGCCCCTTATTTCCATTTAAATTTCCGCTGCACAATTCTGATGTTTTCAAATAAAGTTTAAATTCTTTTGAATAAATCATTATTTAAAGGTATTTTTGGGTGGGAAATTTGGGGGTGTTACAAGGTGGTATCAGAGCAACCCTGCGACAGTGTGCTGATCCGTTGGATATCGGGCAGGCACTTAGCAGGGGAAAAGATTCTGGAGTTTGATTGAGATTAGTTTAAGGGCGCAACGAGGACGTTGCGATCCTAAGTGGGGGTGATTGTAACACTTGAGATTTAATATAAATGGATTAATAGTACTACTCATACCAACAAGATGCATCTCCTTTTAAGGGAGCTCATCACCCAAGAACTCCAAAGTTAAGCGTGCTTGCACGGGAGTAGTCTTGGGATGGGTGACCCCCTGGGAAGTTTCTCAGGGCGCGCACGAGTGAGGACAAAGTGCGCGTAAAAGGCTAGTGGCGGTTTGTGAGGACAGTACTAGAGGTCCGGAGTAACTACCTCGGGTCCTGCTGGGCCGGGGTGTTACAAGTTGGTATCAGAGACTTTAAATTTTCCAAAATGGGAATCTCAAACATTTTGGAAGATTTTCAAATCGGAGATTTTCAAATAAAACTTTCCATCAAGTGACTGCGGTATAAAAAAAAAAAACATACATTTTCTGAGATTTTGTTAAACTCGCTTAGGTGAGCTTTTGTTTTCTAGAACCTATTGAAACTTTTGCAAGAAGATTTCTCAAATGTTTTTCATGTTTTATGTCAAAAAAAAAAATTTACTGGTTTTCGAAATGTGTTTCAAAGAGAAGAAACTTTTAGGAGTAATAAACGGACTAAGAAAATATTTTGTAACAAAATTTAGGATGACGTGGTGAGCTTGTGAGATATTCATTTTATATATGTGTGGAATTATGTGAATATTATTAATGGCTTAAACTAGGCATATTGGTGATATATCCCCCTAGGAGAGATTTAGCACCAGGGCTTATGTGCTATTGTGCTTCGATTTTTTTTTTTTTTGTATTCTGTAGAATACAAGTTAAGAATATTTCTAGGGAAATTTTAAGATTATGCTTCGTGGACGAATCATTCTTTTAAGGAGGGTGGAATGTAACACTCCTTAAATATAAGAAAAAGATTTTAATATAACATGTTATACATGTTAATAGGTACTTGTGATTTTTTTTTAAGCTTATGTTTCGGGACGAAACATCTTTTAAGGAGGGTAGAATGTGATACTCCGAAAATTTCAAATTAAATAAATAATTATCTTATCAAATAAAATGTTATAAAAGTGACATTTTAATAGGTGTTAGGTTGACCAGATAAGAGGTTGACTTAAATAACAAAAGTGGAGTTTTGTAAAAACTGATAAGTATTCATCTGACAGAAATTATTAAAGTGACATTTTAACAATTTTAATGGATTAATAATAGGTGTACAAATATACACTAAATTACATAGGTAGTACAAAAGTAACAATGTTAAAATAATTGACTTTTCAAATCTAAATACATACATACCTATCTATACACAATAACAATATCATATATACTCCATACATATCAATATGCTATTAGTATAATATAAAATACAATGTATCTGTTCACAGAGACATAACCACATCAATAACAATAATATATACTCCCTCTGTTCTAATTTGTTTTGCAAAGTCAACAATTTTTGGTCAACCAATAATAAAAGTCAACCCTCCGTATGGATAATTGATACAATTTTTAATAACTAAAGTTTATCTATTCAAAAACTACATTAAAATCTCTTCAAAGTTGTAAACTCCAAATTAGAATATAATTAAAAATTGACACCCTAATTAAGTGAACAAAACGAGACTGTTTGATTGAGAAAAGTCAAATTTGCAACTCTTTTTGGGACGGATGTAGTATATGCAACTTGCAGACTGAGCCATGTACATTCATGGGGTCCAAATTAAAGAAAGATGAGATATATAACAACTCAGACCTTCGGCTGGGGTAGATATACCCTACTAATAAATACCAATAAAGTATACATAAATGATGGACTTGAATTTCAATAATATACTTGGCTCCTGCAAGAGAAAACAAACATGAAATAATTAACAATAATGCATGAAGCCAAAAATAATATACACATGCGTCCCATGCCATGTGTATGATTGCATGAAGCCAAAAATAAACAAAGCCAGAACATTCGTATGTATCTCGGTACCTGGTATAATATACTAATGGTATAATAAACAAAGCACAAAGGGAAACCTTTTATAATATACTTGGTATTTACATACTCTCTATATATTAATGTACACTTACCCCATCGTTTGACGAAACCCAAAGAGGAGGCCGGCCAAACTCTAGTCACCTACTCCATATATAGATAAGAGAGAAAAAAAAAAATGAGAAACGTAGGGAGGGAGAGAAAAGAGAGAAGAAAGGAGCGAGAGAGAGACGGTTAGTTCGCCGCCTGGGCAGAGGGAAATCGCCGGAGTTGTGGCCTAACTAGTTCTCACGCCGGAAGAAGGAGGCCGCCGGTGAACAATTGCATCGGGAGGTGAGGCCGACAGAAGTGTAACTGCCAGGCCAGACCACCGGTCCTTCATGCCGTCTCATGATGGCTTGTCGTTGCCGTTTCCGTCGGAGGAAGAGTAAACGTACTCTGCGTTGCCGGCCGGACTTCATTAACGAGGAAGACGACCGAGTACGTAAGTCCTCTGCGTCTTTTTACTTCCTTGGTACACCGGACATTAGATATACTTTGGACATTTTGATAATATAATCCTTAATAAACAGAGTAGTTGGGCTAAGATAACAATAATAATAATAATAATAATAATAATAATAATAATAATAATAATAATAATAATAATAATAATAATAATAATAATAATAATAATAATAATAGTAATAATAATAATAATAATAATAATAATAATAATAATAATAATAATGGGTTAGGAGGAACTGGATAAAAATGCATAAATAAAATAACATACTGATTATTGAACTTTAATAGTTAAAAGGTCGTTGCGGTGAAGATCGAAATAACAACTTGAATAGGAGTGACACGAAACGAGGTAAGTGTTTCCGTCAATCAAAACTACTATTCCTCTAGTTAATAGTTTCAAAAACTTGTACGTGAACTATATTCCAAGTTTTGAGATTTGATATTATTTGAAAATATGTGGAGTATTTGGACTTGCAAAAATTACTATTTTACTAGCGTTACTAGATTTGCCACTTTTTGATGAAGTTTTGAAACTTTGAGAAAATATATGGATATGAGAAATATGGCTATCTTGTGTACAAAATCGATTTATTGATCTTGAGAAAGTGTGATCTCATTTGAATACTACGTTCTTTTGAGAAAACTACAATTTGAGATCGGATATTGTGACTACGTTTGGAAATACAACAAGTCCTTACTTTGACAAAGATTAATTTTTGAACAACTAGTGATCCTAAAGATCTAATTATATGATTACTATTTCAAAAGCTTTGATATGAAATTATATGTACTGTATTTGAGACTAGTAATATACATACAAGAGTTTATATATGTATTTTTTTTTATTAATATGTCCATCTCATACACAATTTTGGAAAATTTCGATATGTATATAAATATATTTTAAATCACTACTACATTTAAATGTATAATTATAACTAGTATTGAATCTATAAGATTATACTACGTAGATGATTTGAGAGGTCTTGGTACATATATAAAACTTTTTAGCTAATTGATTTTCAAGATATGATTTCAAATACCTAATTTTTGTAAAATGTATATATAATTTACCACTTCGATAATTGAAGGAATTTCAATAAAGCTATCTTTTTTAAATTATTATTTTAAATATATGATGAGCGTACAAATCCATGTTTACCAAAATTTACTATTTTACCTCATTAATAATTTTGAGATGTTTTAATAAAAATATTTATTTATAAAATTCCATACTTGAATAATATTACGAGCATTTAACTATCAAAATTATTATTGAGCTACATATTATTTTAAGAGATTTTGGTACAATATATAAAATAAACATCTTTCTATATGAGTATAACTAGTACTTATTTTTATAATAATGTAGCTTTCGAGGCCAATAAAAAAAAATGATTTTACCGCATGCTTATATGTATGCAATATTTGAACTATGGGAAGTATTTATGACTTGGAAATTTATGATGGACATGGATGGAATATTTTGAATATATGAGTATTGGTGGATTATTTTCTATGGATGATTAAATGTATATTTTTTTAAGAATATTGGTGGATTGATATTTATTACAAAGATTATCTTTGGAAGTGTGACAAGAATGATTTTGGGGAAAACCTAAAGTTTTCATAATATATTTTTACGTCTCGAGAGAAACACGAGGCGTGGGTGGTTAGGGCTACTACTACTTTTGGTGAAATTTATTTGGGTCGGTAACCAATCCGGCAATGACACGCTCCGGTAGACATCCCGGGCTTTTATTTGAGGATCAAAGATCCTTTGGTGGTCGTAGTAGTAGTTACCTAATTTACCCTTGGACAATGTCCCTTGAGAGTAGGTGGTAGAAAACATCCTGCCTACTTGGATTTCTTACTACTCGGAGAGCTTGGAATCTCTTTTAGAGGGTGTGCACACTTAAGGTAGAAATTCAGCTTCCAATTGGTGGTCGGTGGGAGCCGGAATTCCGGGATGAGTCGTAGACAACAACGACTCATTGGACTCGAGGAACCTTGAGTTTCGCCCACTCTTAAAAGAAACATAAAGTATTACTTCTGGTGGAATTGAGAATGGAAATATCTATTGGAGGAATTTTTTTGAGACCTTGGATCATTCTGGATATATGCGAGGATTAAATATTTTTGGGGCATTAAATCTTTTTGTTACCATTGAGACTATTGTGGAGAATTATTCCTTATAATACTTATAAGAGTTGTTGAAGAAATCATACTATTTGGATTATGATACTTACCACCAAATATTACAAACACTTTTGGATATGGATTTTTGAAGGATTTTGGTAAAGCTAGCAATCCATTTGGATTGAATTTATTTACGGATATGAGATGTGTGTTTGGATTTCAAAAGCTATTTTGGAGATTAAGTATTTTAGGAAGTAATATCTTACTCCTACTATACGAACTATTCAATGTTTATAAACATTATTTTTAGCTATGAACGATATTCGAAAATTATTACCTCGTATTTAGTTGTTGGAAAGTATATAGAATTGAGAAAGTATTTTGAGGACTATGAGATATTAAGACTTTATTTTACTTGCATATGTGTGATATGCTATGAGATGGAATATTTTTACAAACCTCAGTTTAGTGTGTGTATTTATTTATTTATGAGATCAAATATTTTACTTGCATTTGAGGAATTGTAAAGCATTTTGAGAAGGTTTCGACATGCCTAAAAAGAGTTTTAACATGTGTTTTGACAAAATTATATATGTATCAAACATGATTATTTTACAGGGTTGAGTAGGCCCTTACTTAGCATTTCAAGCTAATTTTTGTTTCTTTGTGTTTTCTTTCTGTACATGATTTTGTACAGGTGGAGACTTGGTGATGATTTCGAGAGCTTCCGCTAGAACACGTAGATTAAAGTGATCGAGTAATTCACATTTGGTTTAATTATAATACTCATAGTTACACAAATTAAATACGAGAAATTTGTTTTATTCACATTTATGAAGTTGTATTGGTGGTGGTTAGCCTGTGCACTCGGTTATGTGAGAACCGAGTGTGGCGGTAACGCCCCTTATTTCCATTTAAATTTCCGCTGCACAATTCTGATGTTTTCAAATAAAGTTTAAATTCTTTTGAATAAATCATTATTTAAAGGTATTTTTGGGTGGGAAATTTGGGGGTGTTACAGGCGGTCCTGTCCTCTGAGGTGGGTGTTCCTCCCTATCCCTGTTCGTCTTTTCACATTCTTGTATTTCTCTCTTGCAGGTCTTCCTCTTACCGCCGACCAAATGGACAACGCCGAGTGCCTGAGGAACAGAAAGGCGAAGATGGCTGCGGCCAAAGCGGCCAGGGAGGCCGCCGCCCATGGTGCCGGACCGTCTGCCTCTGACGCCGCCCGTCGGACTGCAGATGGTGAGCAGCATCTGATTGCCACCCTCCTGAATGAGGGGGCCATACCCCATCATGCTGAATCTGCTCTCCCCCCCGCCGGTCGTCACAACGAAGGTGGTTCCCAAGAAGGGGGGCGAGAGGGCCCCAGAGAAGAAACCGAAGAGGGGGCGAGACTGCTCTTCCTCCGGCCCCGTTGTTGAAGATGCCAACGGTCTCTCCCTGAGCCGGCCGGCGGAAGAGCTTTGGAGGGAGCTTGGGGCCAAGGCCGGCCTCGAACTGGCCCCCACCGGTCGTCTTCTGAAGCGACCAGCGCCGCTCTGGCAGCGGCCATCCAGGTATTGTCGCGATTCGACTCATCTTGTCTCCCTGACGCCCGTCGTTTCGTCATCTAACTTCTGTTCATCCCATTCCTTACAATCAGGGCTGTTGGTGCTGCAAGCCGAGGCTGCCAGGGAGGCCGCCCTGCAGGAGGCGAGGAGCAAGGCTGATGCCGCCATATTGAAGGCTCGGGAGGTCGCCCGTCGGGCAGAAGAAGAGGCTGCCTCAGCCAGGGAGGAGCTTCGGTCCCTTCGGGCTGAAACTGGCGCCCAACTGGCCTGTCTGGAGAAGGCCGGCTTCAAGCTTATGCCGGTGCTTCCGGCCCCCAAAGGTGCTATCCCGGAATGGTGCGTCGATACCTCCGGCTACCGGAATACTGGCGAGTTCATGGACTCGGCCAAGGATTTCTGCGCTGGGGCCTTTGGAGACGTGTTCTCTCATGCCCTGGAGAAGGTCCCGGCGAAGGATCGTCTGAAATACGGCGTGCGGCTAATGGGAAGCTCCCCCTTATCGCGCCAATTCCTTTATGATTCTGCTGATAGCGCCTTCGCCGGTGGCTATAACGAAGGGGTCAAAGCCTTTCTCCCCATCTTTGAGAAGCTTCTGGGCCCTGTCGTCAACCCGGCCGATCATACGGAAGAGGACCTGCTGATCGAAGCCCTGGGGAAAATAAGGCGGGATAGGCGCCGAGCGGCGGCCATAGCCATGGGGGATATCCCGGAACCCCCAACCCCTGAGCCCGAGCCTCAGGTGGAAGAGCACACTCATGCCGGGAGCCGGCCATCGTCCCCCCATATGTGCTGATTTATATTTTAGTCTAGCCTTCCTTCCGACTGTAGCGTGTAGACTTGTACTTTCCAGCCGATAGTGCTGAAGAATAAAAATCCATGTTTTGCCAAAGTTCGTCTTTATGCCGTGTTGCTGTATTCGTACCTTATTCTTTCAATGTACTTCCGCCGTACGTAGCCAGCTAACGCGTAGCGTACTCGTAGTTTTTGCCGCCGGGCGTCGTCATCTCCTGGCTTAGACGCCCGTTGCCTAGCCAGGCCTCTCGCACCTTGGGCACCCGGCCCCTTCGGCCGTATGCTCTCGAGCTAATCCTGCCCTCGCCACCTTAGATAGCCGATTCACAAGACTAACAAGGCGTCGCTATTTGTACGAGTTGCCTTGAAGGACGGCGGCACTGTGTCCGACGATGTTCGTCTGGTGTTGCCCTCCCAGTTTGTGGGGATCCCGGGTTCTATGGTCGACGTTCGTCGTCAGACCCGAATTCTAAGATCCGTCAGCGGCCTCTTGGCTTCCCCAAAAGCGCGGGGCTCGAGGTGCCTTCCAAAGTTATTGCTATGCCGGTGTTATTTGGACACGTGCCAGCCTGCGGTTGGTGTCAATCTGCGGCATTTCGCTTATAAGTGCCCAAATACCACGAGATCAGTCATCGTCGATTCATTTAGTCCATACGCTGCGGAAATATATTCTCTCTCTAGCAACTTCTACGAGCCGGATTTATCCCCAGTGCCCAAGCAAAAGGTACCGTTCGTTGCCATGTCCTCCGAAAATCGCCTCGACGATGGTTGTTCTTCTGGTGATGACTTGGAATATTATGAGCGGGGAATGTCGCCCTGGCCTCCCCGTTATAGCCTCAGCTTTTCGTACGTTCGGCGTCAAGTCCAACGCCTGACGAATGCTGACAAGCGTCTGATCAGCCAATGGTTTTACCCTCCAAGGACCTACGACGATCGGCGTCTGCGCAACCCCATGCGCCATCTGCCCGGCTATGTGGTGGTCCACTTGGATTCGGTGATAGCCGGGCTGAACTTTCCCTTACATAGCTTCCACTTAGAGCTCTTCAGGGCCCTTGAGATAGTGCCTGCGCAGTTCATCCCTGCCGCCTATCGGATAATCGCTGGCTTCATTATTAGATGCCACAGCGTCGGTGTGACCCCCACCGTGGACCTGCTGCACCATTTCTTCCGGCTGTCCCCCTTCGGACGCACGGGGTATCTGACCCTGATCGCCCGTCCGTCCATGGTCCTATTCTCGAACAATGCTGGGAATCCGGATGGTTGGGAAGAGCGCTTCTTCCTGGCCGGAGTAGGCTCACCGATGCCATTCTCTGACCGGTGGAATGCTTACCCGGTGAAGACGATCCCGCCGCCCATGACGGACGAGGAGCTCGGATATGCCAAGCGCATAGCCGGACTTGGCATCCAGAACCTCCGGTTGCTGGTGGCCGAGCCTTTTAAAGCTCGGGCTGGGTTAGGTGCGTCTGTTTGTACTTGTATTGTTTTAACCTCTCTCCACTGTTATGGCTCTGAACGTCTTGGTTCCCTTTGTGCAGGAATTTTCCCCTCCACGTCTACGATGAGCCGAGTCAACGCTGCTTCGACTGCCGCCGGCCGTGAGCACAAGGGGCATGACAAGCCCGGGAAGCCGCTCGTCCCCAAGGTCGAACCTCGGGTGACCAGGGCACGAGCTGATGACGCTTCGGGGGCCGGCGCCTCCAAGAGGCCACGTGTTGAGGGCACCTCCTCCAAGGCCATCATCGTGGCCGATGACTCCGATGGGGAGCCCGGAAGTCCCCTCAAGCGGAAGCGCACTTCGCGGACCAATCTCCGTGCCTCTCCTCCGAGGAATTCCGACGTCCGCCGTTTCCGGGATGATGATACCCCAACCGCCAAAGGTTCTGACGACGCCCGTCCAAACTCTTCCCCGGGAACCAGTGAGTCTTCTCTTGGCCTGATCGAGTTTTCTGGGGTTGGCCCCCGCAAGGAGTCTATGATGCTCTTCGGCCAGACAGCGTCCTCCATCTGGTGCGGCCTGAATCTCAAGGTCCCCCAAGATTTTGCTGCTCAGGAGGCACCCGAAGACCTCCTGGAGTGTGGTCAGAGCACTCTGGATAAGGCCGGGCTCTACTTCCACAGGGCCCGGATGGCTTTTGAGCATCAGGGCAGGGAGATGGCCAGAGTCCGGGCCGAATGTGACGCCCTCCTGAAGAATGCAAAAGGCAGGGCCGGAACTCTTCAAGAGAAGGCCGATGCCTACGACAAGCTCGTCCAGGAGAATGCCTCTCAGAAGGAGCTCCTTAAAAAGCAGGAGGCCGAGCTTGTGGATCTCCGCAGCCGGATGTGGGCCGTAGAGCAGGCCAAGGTGGAGCTCCGCCGTACGGGCGTGGACAATCATGTCCCTATATACGAGGCCGATGTCGCCAAGATCAAGGAGTCTGGATCCATAGCGTTCCAAAGATCCAAAGCTTACACTGGCGCCATCCACACTATGGCCATGAAGTTTCTCCCGAGGCTCGTCGGAGAATTTCTAGCCACCTGCCCGGACGCCTATCTGGATGGGGTCAAATTGCTCCAGGCCACCCCCACCGGACGGCGTTTCCTTGATGATCTTGCCGATGATACCTATCGCAAGGGCATGGTTGGGCTCGTAGCGGAGAATCTCCCCACGTTCGAGCGTCATTTCGGGGCTCCTTTCGATCCGGAGGCGGCTGGCTTTGACGTTCTGATGGCGGACGCTCATGCGGGGGCCCTCGAGCTGCTGAAGGAGCAGGCGGAAGCCAAAGCTAGTGAAGAATGCAAGCAGGCTCTTTCCAAAGTTCCAGCTCCGGACGTCGATCGAAAGTGATTCTCTGTTCATGACCTTGTACTTGTACAATTTTTCCCATTATTTTCATTGTCTTGTAATTTCCCGGCCAATAGTGCCGAAGAATAAAAAAGAATCATTCTTTGCTCTTTGCTCTTCTGGCATTTTTTTTTTTTTTTTTTTTTTTTTGGAGTCTTTTAGTCTTCGTTCGTCCTTGGTCCCTGATCCCACCGGCGTCCCTACTTCGAGGAGACGTTCGGTGTCCGCCGACATCGCAAGGATGAACAGGTTTATCTACATCGAGATCCCCCCCTTTTTTCGTTCGTCCGTGGTCCTTTTAGCCTTACCGACGTCTCTTGCTTCGAAGCGGGCGTTCGGTACCCAAGGACTCGCAGGGACGAACAGGTCTACCCTCACGGGTCCCCGACTTTGTTACCCCACGTCCATCGATCCATGGTCGTTTGTGGGATAAACAGGTTTATCTTGGCAGGCTCCCTTGGTTCGTCTAGCCCCCTCCGCGTCTCTACTAACCTCTACACCGAGAGGCGTTCGTCTTCGGCGGTTGGAGAAGATCTGGCACACCCGGGCAAGATTCCCTTCTACATAGGAGCTCCTCTCCTCTTCTCCCCATTTTTTTTTTTTTTTTTTGGCGGAGGCAATCCATACTCTTCGTTCGTCCTTGGTCCCTGGTCCCACCGGCGTCCCTACTTCGAGGAGACGTTCGGTGTCCGCCGACATCGCAAGGATGAACAGGTTTATCTACATCGAGATTCCCTGGTGCTTCGTTCGTCCTTGGTCCTTGGTCCTACCGGCGTCCCTACTTCGAGGAGACGTTCGGTATCCGCAGACATCACAAGGAGGAACAGGTTTATCTACATCGAGATTCCCTGGTGCTTCGTTCGTCCTTGGTCCCTGGTCCCACCGGCGTCCCTACTTCGAGGAGACGTTCGGTGTCCGCCGACATCACAAGGAGGAACAGGTTTATCTGCATCGAGATTCCCTTCTTTAACGGTCGTTGGCAAGAACAGAATTGATGAAAAAACAGGGGCCTTATTATTGACGACGTCCGGCCATTTTACATGGTAGTGGGAATAATACAAGGACAACAGCCCCTAACTATTGATAGAACTTCTTCAAGTGTTCTACGTTCCACATCCCGGCACGGTTCCCCTCCAGGGTGTGGAGGAGGAACGTCCCCTGGTTATATCTTCTGATGACCCGGTAAGGTCCTTCCCAGTTCTTCGCCATTTTGCCGCCTTCGAGCGGCTTGCTCTTCTCTCTTTTCCTGAGTACGAGGTCCCCGGCCTCTATTTCGCGGAATTTCACGGCCTTGTTGAAGTATCTCTGGGTGGCCCTGTGATACTCTTCCATGCGACGAGCCGCTAGGTCCCTCCGTTCCTCGACGAAATGGAGCTCTGCTCGTAGGTTGATCTCGTTGTCCTCCGGCTGGAAGTGCTTGGTGCGATGGGTAGGTACCAGTACCTCCGTCGGTACCTTAGCTTGGAATCCGTAAGCCAAGGCAAAAGGGGTTTCCCCAGTCGCCGTTCTTGGCGTCGTCCTGTACGTCCATAAAACATAATTCAGCTGCTCCGGCCAGGTGGAGGTGTAGTCTTCCAACTTCTTCTTGATCCCGTCCATGATGGTCCGGTTCATGTTCTCCACTTGGCCGTTGGCTTGCGGGTAGGCCACCGAGGCCTTAGAGTGCCTGATGCCCCACTTCGCCAAGTATGCCTCAAAGCCTCTGCCGACGAACTGCCGACCGTTGTCTGTGATGATCTGCTCCGGGATCCCGAATCGGCAAATGATGTTCTGCCAGACGAACTTCTGGCACTGGAATTCAGTGATGGAGGCCAATGGTTCGGCCTCGACCCACTTCGTGAAATAATCAACCGCCACAATGACGAACTTCCTTCCACCAGCAGCCGTTGGCAGAGGACCCAGCAGGTCTACGCCCCACCTAGCAAATGGTAGCGCGATGGTCATCGGGGTGTAGAAACTTGCTGGGCGGCCAGGGACAGGTGCATACTGCTGGCATACTGCGCACTTCCGCGTGTGGTTGAAGCAATCCTGCTGTATGGTCGGCCAGTAATAGCCCTGCAGGATGATTTTTCTGGCCAAGGTTCGGGGCCCCTGGTGGCTGGAGCAGATCCCTTCATGTATTTCCTCGATTACCGCCGCTGCCAGGCTCGGCGGGAGGCACCTGAGGTAGGGTCCGCCGAACGTCTTCTTGTAAAGTTGCCCGTCGATAAGTTCAAAGTTAGGGGCACGTCTCTTGATCCACGCGGCTCTTCCTGTACTGCCATCACCTTC